GTCTTAACCACAGTAATGTCGTTACACGTCAAACACCGTGAGGGTGCACTGGCTTAGTTCTGAGTGCAAAACTACTGTTTCGTGTTACGGAAAAGGAAAGTTTTGGGTTCTCGGGGAAGACACTTTCCTAGGGCCAATCAGACCTAAGGATGGTTCACAGGGACAGAAAAGGCCCTCAAACAGAATGCAGGAATCTGTTTCCACCTTGCTGGGTTAAAATCTGCACACGCGTGGGATGCCCGGCCACCAGGTGCCTCCCCTGCCCCGGCTCCCGGGCTCTCAGCTCCAGAACCGAGTGCTACCCCGAGCCCGGTCCAGATCTCAGTCTGGAGTTTGCGGCGCCGCGTCCACCAACCCGCCGGCCTCACCTTGATTACAGAAAAGGCTCCACAGTTTAGCGAAGATCAGCCCCATCATGAGCCCCGGGCGGGACAGGCTACCCGGGCAGCACTCGGCGGCAAGTGCCGCGGCGCCCGCGGTGGAGCGGAGGGGAAGCCGGCCAGCGGCCGAGGAGCCTCGGAGTCCCGCGAAGCTCCGGTCCGCTGCGGAGCCGGGAACCGCCGCAGACTCCTTTGTTCGCAGCGCGCTGAGCCCAGCCCCGACCCGTAGTCGCTCCGTCGGCGCCCACCTACCCTGCACAGCCTCGGCCGGCCGCGAGCCCCGCCCCCGCCCCCACCCCGCCTCCCCGCCTCAGCCCGGGACCACCCATCGCCGGAAGAGCGGCACGTGACGGCGGCGCGCTGACGTCAGCGGCGCCTGGGACGTGGCGGACCCTCCCCGAGCACTTCCGGTGTGCGGGCCGTGGGCGGGAGGGCGTCGGCGGGCCGGGGCGGGGCGGGCCTGGGGAAGTCCTCGGCGCGCGGTCCCTCGCCCGTCCCAGCGTGGAAGCGCGCGCGCGGGCGGGGCGGGCCCCGGCCGCCTCGCCGCGGCGACCCTCTCTGCTGAAAGCCTGCAGTCCCTCAGCTTGTGCGCTCCTCCGGCTGCCCCGGGAGGAGTGGTTTTTCATTCCGCTCCTCCTGAGGCTGGCAGTCTTGGGGTTCTAGCGTGATTCTTAATTCTGAAGAGAATTGGTGGGGACACGCGCGCTGGAATGCCTGTAGCCAGGGTTGTTGTTTCTAAATACACATCGCCACCAGTTCGGCCAAGCGTTAGGCTCGGTCCTTGACCTCAAAATCCTTTCCAGTTGAAAATGGACGTTTCCGACGCCGGAATGTCCTTGAGGCCATTCGGCGGCCCCCACAGATCCAGAGAAGAATGTTAAGGCTGGCAGCCCCACCTTTCAACGCGGTAAACTCCTCTAGTGCCTGTTCCAAAGAAGACGAGTGTGGCCTAAGATGCCCTGCTAGTCAAGACCAGTAAGACTTAGGTCCTGGATCATAACTGCCAGCTTCATGATACTAAACCTAGCTTCAGCCTCCCCTACGGAGGAAAAGATGTACTGATCCCATTCAAGCTTAGCTTTAATGACCATCCGTTGGACTACAAATATAAACGGGTTTGTGGTTGCGAAAGCAGGCTTACAGGGTCATTTCCATTCCTGCCTTCCTCTCTCACGTCCTTTTCAGGGGAGAATTTAGAAAATTGAGATTTTTGCTAACCGAAGGGAAGGAAACCTGCTCTGGCTAAAACTGATAGATGCTGACAAATATAGTAGAATATTTTCTAAACGAATAAAATGCTGATGTATATACTAATGTGAGAAAAAATTGCACTTAAGTGTATGCTGTCCACGTATATTAACTATATATGTCGAGTTGTAGGAATTCTTGTCAAGAATTTGATACTTTTTCTTTAAATATCCCTTTAAGATTTTGTTAACATCAATTTCAGTGTTGCCTTTGGTATAGAAGAGGTAACATTGTTCTATAGAATGGCACCACTTGAAAATGAATATAGTTTGAATTCATGAAATAAGAATAATGATAACTTTCATTAAAACAGAATCCCAGTAAAAACTCCAACAAAATATTTAACAGGTATAAGTGCTAAATTAGCAAAAAATGAACTGAAATTTTGAAGAAGTAAAATGTTAACTCAGCATAAAGGAAAATTATGTAGATTTCTTAGGAGGAACCAATAGAAACTGACCAGATGATATTTGGAAAAACTTGATGTTTTTGGCATTGAGTTTAACTTATTAATCAGCTAAGTTAGATCAGTTTGTTCAGAGCTTGAAATAGAGAGTTCAAGGAACTGTGTGTTCTGCCAGATAAGGAGGAAAGCCACTCTTCAAAACTCCTGAGCCTTTCTCATGTCAGTCGAAATTTAGTCCAGTTGGTCAGTTTCCAGATGAGTTGAGATTGACTGATTTGCCCATAAGGAAGTTTTCTTCCTGCAGTCAAAGAAATCAATATAATTTCATTCAGTAAATATTTGTTAGACACTTTTAGATGCTGTGAGTGATTGATTGATGCAAAAAATTTAATATATCATGCCTGAAAGTAGGAAAGAACATATTGATAAATTTCTGATGAAGCTGTTTTTTTAATTCCCAAAGAAGTTGCATAATACCTCAAGTTTCAGAATATTTACTAGGCCAAAGTGTCTTTAAGTCTGTGACTCTGCTCAGAAGTTAGTGGACATGATATCTGTCCTCTGTACCTCACCGTAATCAGCCTCCCCAAATTTTGCTTGAATGTTTCTTCCAACAGGTGCTTGGAAACTGCCATCTTGTGCAGTGTTAGCGTTTGGAGGATGTTTACTCCCCCAATGAAGCCTTAATGAAGGGTGGTCTGTAATACCATTTCTGGGAGGATTTTGAAGTCGAATAATTTTGTGAAATGCTCTAGGTCCTCTCTAGAAACAAGTGTTTTCTGCCCTTTGTTACAGTCCTGTACCATAGGGCGGGAGCTATGACAAAGAGTTATATGACGTCTCATTGAAAACGTGAAGTCTGCAGTCCTGGCTAGACTGGTTAACTTCTGATCTGTTGGAATCAGGGTCACTTATTCTTCCCTGCTGAGTAATAGTGGATAGTCTTCATCTAACACTTAGTGTAGGTTAGCCTTGTCCAACACTTGTTAAAGCAGTTTACCTAATGTGTTTAGTCTTTATAGTGTTCCTACACTATAAAGCATGGCTAGTATCTCCAATTAATAGAGGAGAAAAATGAGGTGTAAGAACTTTAATAATTTGCCCAGTGCTGCAAGAACAGGTATATGAACCATAGCAATCTAGATTAGTAGCAAAATTAGCAAGTAACCTGATAATATAAATGTCTGGTCACTATTCAAGTGTTCTGAAATAGTTAACTACTTTAGATCAAATATATATTTGACAGCAATTTCCTTTCCTATTTTACAAAAGTGTATTTAATTAGTCAGTAAAGAAGGGTCCTTTATACATGAAGCAGTGAGTACGCTATGTGGAAATGAAATATCTCCTTTATATTCAAGTTCAAGATTTCTTCCCAGGCCAGTGTGTACTGAGACAGAATGCCTGGTGACAGCAAGGACAGGGTACACATGAACATGTAAGCCTTCCCAGAGTTTGATTCATTTGTGTTGTTCGAGCCTGGGTCACTTCTACTGCTTTTCTACTTGGTAGCTCTCTGAAACTAGTTTTATGCGAACTCTGTTATAAACCCATACTATAGCCATATTGGTGTAGTGGAAAAGTGATGGGGACTTTTGGGTGGAACAGCTGCCCATGAGGTACCCGTACTGTGGCAAGTAAGCTTAGCAAACAAATCTATTAATATTTTTCTTTGGTTACTTTTCTTAATTGGGGTGAATAGATGTTTATGTCTCCTCAGCAAAGTCATGTAACACTTTCAAAATCCATGTCTGAGACATTTTCTTTATTGATTTCAGGTGATTAGGTAAAAAAAGAACCCTGTGCATCTACTGAAGATACATGATACTGTGGAATGACTGGGTACCTGTTTTAGAAACCAACTTATTGGTCCTTAGTCTGTTTTTGTTTTTGTTATTTTTGAGGTCATGGGAAGTTATTTCAACCCTTTGTGTCTTGGTTTACTCATTGAAAACTGTTTACAACCAGTTTGCTGAACTATAGCAGAGTGCCATTGTCATAGTATTTTCACCTTAAAGAGTTGGTGGTGCCATAGAAAGAAACAGTAACGTATATATTTTTAAAGCCGATGTGAAAACTTGAAATCTTTAAGAAAAATGAAAATGTTTTCTCCAGTTACCCTTGAGATATCGCCCCTAACAACAAAAAGCACAAAACAAAAAACTCCACCCCACTAGCTATAGAGACAGAACTGTTCATGTTCAAGTGTACAACATCTGGGTGACTTTGCTTAGTTATATTTAAATCCTTTTCACTTCATTACCACCAGAAAAGTCACATCAAGGCTTTCTTGTGCTCATAAGTACGTAAGTATTAGCAATTAACTTCATGATTAGTTGTAATTCTATTAGGGGATTTTAAGTTTTACCTGAATACTCATGGCTATTAGTACATTTAAAAAAAAAAAACAAACAAACTGGGTATTAGGGCTGGAGAGGGCCTCAAAAGTTATGAGCTCTTTTTCTTGCACAGGGCCCATGTTCCATTATCAGCACCCAGGATGGCTCCCAACTGTAACTTCAGTTCCAGGGTATCCAACAGGCAAGCACGTGGTGCCTGTACATGCACACAGGCAAAACATTCATATTCCGACCTAAGTGTGCACGTTTTCAAAGAGAGAGAGTGGTGCTGATACACAGCTGATGTCTGATTCATGTGCCCGAAGGAGGGAGATAATTTCACGAAACCCAAGACCAACTCAGCTGTCCTCCACCACTACTTGCACTGGGGACACCAACTGGAAACCTCCCTGACTCAAGTTAGCGAGGTATCCAGCTCAACCCAGCATTTCCGCAGCCCGGGGCCTCGGGTACACCAGGTTTACGTCGTTCTTCCCAGGCAAAGAAAAAAAAAAAAACAAAAAAAAAACCCACAAAATCACCCCCAGCGTCAAGACTGGAGGTGATTGGCAGTTGCAGATTGGGCGTGTACAGAAAGGAGGGCAGCAGGTTCCGGAAGTGACGAAATCAGGAAGCGACGTTCTGCCCTGAGGTTTGGGGCGCGGTTTTGGAAAATAGCTCGTCAGAGTGGCGCTAGACGCTATCCTTTTCCTATTTGCGTCTCGGCACGCTTGTTCGTCACTAAACCGATTTGGCGCAGCCTCGGAGTTCGGAGTTTTCTCAGAATCCCAGAGAACGACAAACCCCGGACCCTGGTCACTCCTTAACCCCGAAAGGCACTCATGTGCCCGGCCGTTGGCTGACAACGCTGTAATTCGGAAAGAAAAACTGCTTCCCAACACTTTGGACAACTTAAAACAAGAAAAAAAAGAGAGAGATGCATATATTTCCTAAGATATCTTTGAGACCTGAGGTTGAAAACTATCTCAGGGAAAGCTTTGTGAACAAGGAGGTAGGTCACATATATGGACATTTGCCACAAATCGGGTGCAACTTCTGGAGAAGCAGAAAGGAGTCTAAAGGACACTCTTTACAGCTGTGGTTTTTGCCACTAGTCTTTTGCTATGTTTAAAAAATCGTTTTGTAGGCATCGATGCTTACTGAGATGAAATAAATGTGTGAGCGCATTTAGGTGCCAAAAAAAAGGTGTTATGTGCCTGTCAGTAAGTACTGAAGGGGTAGCAAAATCAGGATAAGTTCCCTGGCCACATAGTAGATGCACCTGTTCTGTTAAAGTGCATGCTCAGACTCCGGTGAAAACAGAACGCTGTGCATGCCTCTTTAAATGCCATGAGTTGTTCGATTGTAAAGCGTTACATTGTAGTCTGATAAATCTTGGTAGAGTGATTTGGTTCCATTCTTAAGAACAGATTATAGTCCAAAGAGTCTTGTTAGTCATCAAAACCGACGTAACTGTCAAACAACTAGAGCTCAGATGTAACGAAAGAAAAAGTCAGTTTTAGATTCTTGAAAGCATTGTCTGTCTGTCTATCTATCTATCTATCTATCTATCTATCTATCTATCTATCTATCTATGTATCTATTATTTATTAAGGTAAGGTTTCCCCACGTAGTTCTGGCTGTCTTGGAACATAGTAGATTAGGTTGGCCTTGATCTCACTGTGATCCACCTGCCTTTGCCTCCTGAGTGCTGGGATTACAGACATGCCCCACTGTACCTTGCTGGAAAGCATTTTTATATGAGTTATCTTGAATTAATTTCGCTGATAAAGCTGTATGATTCTCTGGAAACAGAATAGGTTAAAAGTGCTTTGAAGATTGTCTTGGGGCTCCAGAGTGTTAATTACTTGTTAATGGCCACACTAGTACAGATGTGAGTGTTGATTGCCTTCTAATGAAGAATTCCTGCATGCTCTGTTGGCCTTCCCCTGCCACCCCTAGGAAAAGTCAAATCCACTTAAATGCTTTTATTTTTGAGTGTTATTAGAGCTGGGTTGTTTGTTTGCTTGTGTTTGAGACAGGGTTTCGCTGTGTAGCCTTGGCTGTCCTGGACTGGCTTTGTAGACCAGGCTGACATCAAACTCACAGAGATCTGCCTGCCTCTGCCTCCCGGAGAGAGTGCTGGGATTACAGGTGTGCACTACCACGCCCAGCTTGGAACTGGGATTTTAAAACCAATTTCTACAACTTATTTCCAAATCATGTTAAGAGGATAAACTATATGGAAAGAAAAATATTTTATGTTTATCTCTAGGGGCCTTATGAAGTGTATATTAAGTGAGGAGGGCATGTTCAGCAGTCTTCCAACAGTTTTAGAATGATGGACATTTTGTGAAAGACTGATGAAATCTTTATGGTCATCCATTTTCAAACCCACTAGGTACATGAGTTTAAGAAAAACAGAAAGGCCATCCCATTTTAAACCAAGGAAAGGAAAGAAATAATACACGTTGAAATTGAGATCGAGGTTCTTTTCATTTCAGGTTGTGTCTGCTTCAAGCAAAGAAGCAGCAGAAAGGAAATTTGAAGCTCTGCTGATTCACCTGTCACACCCTCCGTCATTCACAACTGTCAGGGTAAACACACATTTAGCCTCGGTTCAGTATGTCAGAGGTCTGCTGCTTGAAGAGCTCCAGAAGGTTTGTGTGCATGTGATATCCTGTGCAATTATGTTCTGTACTCTGCCACACTGTGCTCCATCAAAATCTCGTGACTAATAGGATACTCTATTTTTCAAACTTCTGAATATTCAGAGTTCATTGTTCTCATACAATTTTTAAACACACATAGTGAGAGTTAGTGGAATGAGGAGTATATTTTAGAAATACAAATATTACCTTTTGCTTGCCATTAGCATTCAGTTAAATCAAAATATGTCTATATGTTGACAGCATTTCAATGGTACTTGTCAATTAAATATATGACATAACTGTACCTCAGGATGTATTTACAATCAAAATTGGACCCTGTTGAATAAAGAGATTTAAACATTTGTGGATAAATAAAGAAATCAGGATCGCTAAGCTATTTTAAGGTTAGATTGAGCCCAAAACTCCTGATTCTGAATTTATTAGACTATTAGTATTCACGTGAAGTCTCCAAGCCCTCTGGGCTTCATCATTAAAATATATGCAGAGGCTCTTACTGAATCTTAAACCTAATTGCATAGTGAGCAGCATATAATGATTAGGAGGCTTGATGGTGCAATTAAAATGAGTTCAGAGAGATGAGGATACCTGCTGAGTAACTGTAGAATTACATATATTTTTAAAGTCATTTTTTTTGGGGGGGGTGAACCAGTGAGTTTATTGGGAACACTTACAGAGCACGTTAAGTCCTTATCGGAAGGTGGCTGACCCTGAAGAGCTGCATCTGCAGAGTCCCACCCTGCTGTGGGTGATGATGACCTCATGAAAGCTGCATCGTGGAGTCACACTGTCAATCACCACCTGAGGATTTTACTTTGAATTGTGGTTAATTGAATTAAACATACATGTCTTATAAAAACCTCAAGATTAAGACAATATGAGGAATATGGTTTTAAGATCTTTAACCATTATGTTAGTATCGCTCATGTTCTAAGTGAAAACAGTATTGTAAAGTGGCTTTTTATGATTTGTACACCGAAAAGTAGTATCTGGTTATATTGTTTTTATTGGAATCATAGTGTTTATATTGTTACCTATTTGTTTTCAAAAACTTTGTATTTTGTGTTTTTGACACTGTAATCTGAAATTTGTCTCAAAGAAGCATAAGATTGGAGGGATATTGATACTGGAGGGATTTATTCATGAATTGCATGTTGTAGTTTTAAAATATTTGATGACAAATAACTGGTGGGTGTAAGGAGATCTGGTTCCATCTAACACATTTTCAAAGAAAAATAACTCTGACTTAGGTTGTTTGATAGTTTTACACGGTATAATCCCTGGCACCAACGTTGATCTCATTCTTGTACTAGTGTGTCTGTAGAACTGGAAAGAGCTGCCCACAGGGAGTCTGTGAGAGCTGTGCCAGTAGCTGTCCAGACGTGCATGTATTTCCAATCTGACCAGCTAAGTATAATAGATTTTGAAAACCCCAAACTTCTAATAAAAGTACTTTGTGATATCAGCAAAATTGACATGGTCTCTACCGTTGGTGGTGTGTGTCATATTTAGTAATTTCAATCTTTAATGTCCTACTCTGACATATTTAAAATGACTGTCCATGTGTATTTGAGTTAGGATTTGATTATGTAGCCAGGGCTCACCTGTCACTTACTGAGTAGTTCAGGTTTCCCTTGGACTCCTCTTTCCTCGTCCTCCCAAGTGCTAGCATTACAGATACACACCATTCTATTCAGCTTAGAAAATAGTGCCTGCACGTAATTGTGAATAGAATATATGTTTTCAGAGCAGTCATTTAAACTGAACATGGCTTATGTTTCTGAAATTGAACAGTAAGCAGAATTGAATGCTGTAAAGAAGTCAGACTGGGTGTGGTGGCCTGTGCATGTAACTTCGGCTCCTTCAGAATCTGAGACAGGATTGAAAAAGCTTGAGGCAAGTGTGGGCAATATAGGGAAATTCTAACTCAAAATTAAAAATTAAGGAACAAGCTCAGTGGTTCGGCACTTGCCTGGTATGTTTGACCCCCAACACTCTCTCCTGCTCGAGTCAGGATAACATTGAATCAGAAAATATCTAAAGGTGTGTTTGCTCTAACATTATTCCCTGAAGTAGGGTGAAATAGGCCTAAGTTGACCTTCCTGCAGTGGGAGGTAGAGACACAGTGAAACCTGTGGTATTTACCCGTTGTTCTGGGTGTTCTTTCACTGTGTGCCTGGTGCCGTGGAGAAGCCTATGAGGTTTGCCATGTACACCGCTGCTTCATAATTGTGTATATTTCTTATTAACAGCAGTTCAGTGGATTCAGCATTCCTGTTCTTCAGCATCCAGCACTCCCAGATGTCTTACTCATTCCCGTGACTGGACCGAGGTTTGTGGCTGGTTGATTTTCCCTCTATTCTTCTAAACTAAAATTTGTCCCAAGATGTTTGCTTGTTGACAGTATTGTCTGCATTATTTGAAATGCTCTAGAAATTGGCAGTCACAGATTTGCAACTACATTCTTCATGTTCTGTCATGTACTGTGGTGGAGGACCTAGACTGGGCCTGAAGATCTTGAAAATAGTGCATCTTACATCTGGTTAGTGCAACAGTGGACGTTATTCTCATTTTTTATAAGTTTCTTTTTGTTTCTTTATATTTTTTTTTTAAAGATTTTATTTTTGTGTGTACAAGTATTTGTCTGCTTGTGTTTATGTACACCATGTACATGCCTAGTGCCTGAAAAGGCCAGAAGACAGCATCAGAGCCACTGGAGCTAGAATTACAGACAGCTGTGAGCTGCCATGTAGATGCTGGGAACTGAACCAGCATCCTCTAGAAGAGTAGCAAGTGCTCCTAAGTGCTGAGCCATCTTCTCAGCGCATGTTTACTGATAGTTTTAAAAATGAGATTCCAGCATTAAGAGGTTTTCTGATAAATAAAACTATTGTATTTCATAATTGGGTTTGTAAAATTTTATACTTAACAATATGTCAACTTACTGGTTACCAGGTGTGCTTCTCATTTATGTATTTGGACAATATATTTTGGAAAATTGAAAAAGAGGCTTCATTTTATTATTATTATTATTATTATTATTATTATTAGGATGCTTTTCCCAAATAGCATATTAAAATCCCTAATTATGCTATAAAGTGTTTAAATTTGAGTTATGGTAAAGAGAAAAATGTTCATGCTGCTAAAACTTTGAAATAGTTTGATAGTAACAAAACAGTGATTTTATAAATTATGCTTGATTCATGCTATGAAATATGGAGCCATTAAGATTGCAAAGTTTTATTAAGCAATATAAGAGTTTATGATCTGTTAATTATTAAAAAGAAAAAGGGCCACACTCAGGATAATTGCTGTATTTTGCAATTAAACATAAAGCTACATTTTGTGTATTTATATATAGAAAAGTGTCTAGAAGCTATACCATATCCACCTGTGAACAGTGGTTCATGCTAATGGGGTTGGATTCAGAGGAAGGGGGTAAGTTAAGGGAGATATATATATATATATATATATATTTTTTTTTTTTTTTTTTTTACTATGAGCATGTATTAGTTCAGCAATTAAAATTTGAGTTTGCAGGCTGCACAATTGAACAGAGGTGCAGTTTATATACTCAAGGTGGAGGCATGTTATGTATAGTTTGCCGAGATCATGGGAATTGGTAAAATATTTTTTCAGTTACTTAAAGATGCTTAGTAATTAGGCTGATAGACGAGATAGGGGGACAAGGGTGTGCTAGATTGGGAGAAAGTAAAAGCAGGCATGCAAAGGCGTGGACATGTTTGGTGAAAGTGATCACGTTTGGCCACTCAGTTGGTTTTCAGAAGGGCAGGTGAAAGCAAAGAAGTTGAGAGAATCAGGTTATGATATACACAGGATTCTTTTGTTTGTACTAAGATTATAGCAGCCAAAAACTTGGAATGAGGGCAATGGTTAGAGTTGAGGTTAGAAACATAACACTAGTAGAAGTTACTCAGTGCATCCTGAAATATAGTGGATGTACTATAAGCATTTAAAAATAAATGGGAAGATTTATCACACTGATTCTCATGCTAAAGGTGTTTATGAAGTTTATCATAAATACATTTATATACATATATTTGGCATTTGTTACATTTCAAGTTATAATTAAAATTGCAAGAAATCTTTTTCACAGTATTGTATGTGACGATTAATATTTACTATTGATACATCTTCTGGTAAAGCTGCTGTTAATCCTAAACCAGCTGTATACCCAAACCACCACACAGAGACTGGGATTTATTTAATTAACCTAGAACACAATGCTGAGCAATAGTTATTCCATCCTAGACCTCCTAACCCTCATAGTTTCCTAACATTTAGATTTCCCACATTATACTTGCTTTTAGTGATATATTAGGTCCAGTCCATCTCTCCACGTCATTTCAAGATCTCCCTCTTGCCTCTGTTCTCCCATTTCTCATCCCCTTTCTCCCCTCCTCTGTCTCCCACCTTCCTGTCCTCTGGCTCCTCCCTCTCTTCCTGCTTCCTTTCCCTTGCTCAACATCGTGGCTAGTTGCTTTATTTTGGCATGTTTACACAAAGTTGAGACAGCTGATGCTTAGAATAAATATCACAATGCAATGTCTGGATTGAAACCAGAGAGTGGGGGAGAGAAATCAGCATTTGAATGAACAAGAGTAAAGTATATACATTCCAAAAGAACATTATACGAACATCACAAGAAGATGAATTGCAAAGATGTAGTCCAGTTAAGAAATTATTACAATTGTTCAGTTCCAGTTGTGTAGTAAAGTTGATAACCTGAAATCATTTCTGCTGTATACTCTCGGTAGTGTTAGGTAGAGAGAGTAAAGTGTACTATAATATGCAACACCAAAGAAGACTGAGTGAAAGCGATGAAGTTAGTAAGAAACAGGAACACCTAGAAGATTGAGCTAATATTGGGGAGTTGGACTTTGGGAAAAGGAAGCTGTTGGCTGGTTTTCCATATGTAGGGCCTTGGTTTTAGCAATGGGCTAATGCTGCAATGCAGGCTATCCAGCAGTCAGCCTGAGGTAGTAATTAAAAAGAGGGTCTCTTGTTGTAAGATCCAGATTTGAGGGGAAAGGCTACTAAGAATGCAGAACGGTTACACATCTTCCAGTTGTTGTTGTCTTGGAGCCTTCAGTTTGTGAAATTGCAATATAAACATTGATTTAAAGTCAATTCTTAAGAGGCTTGGTAGAAATCAAGCCCACCTGTTCTGTCCTTGCATGCTTTGAATCCATGTCACACACTTTCTCATCACTTCACACTGTATTGGAAATCAACCCACCATGAGAAAACAGTGTGTCCAGTAAATGTCAGGGGAATTCCCCTAAACTTTAACAAATTAGAGCTATCTGGTAAATACATAATGACTTTTTTAAAATGATAATGTATAAAAGACCTAAGAGGAAAAACAAGTTGATACAGAAGTAAATAGTCTTTAAAATTAAGCACTTGTTTTATAAGTTAAATTTAAACCATGCCTTTAAATTGACTGAGTTAGATGACTGAGGAAATCACCTGCAATGCAGCGATGACTGAGAACTTAGAAATATGAATGCAAATTGAGAACAGAAAGAAAAGGCAGCCTGGGTTCCAGAATATGAAAATCGAAGTAATTGGCCAAAGACAGTAGTGAGAAAATGTGAGGACTATGAGTTTTCCACAATTGGTGACAGATAACTTTAGGGCCTACAAGCCTGAAGCCCCAAGTGAAAACAAAAAACAAACAAACAAAAAACAAAAACAACCTAAATCTGAAAGCCTTCCAAAACTGTTTATCTAGACACTTGAGAATGAAACCACTACCCATCTAATGCTGTAGAGAATAGGTAAAGCAAACAAAGGCAGAAGTTGGGAAATTGAGTGATGAGTATAGGCTCAGGAGACCTATTGGATAGACACAGCAGGACTCTCAGCTTGCAGAGGAGTTCAAATTGCTCAGTGTTGTATGTGTTATTGCTGCAGCAGAAAACTCTTGAGATCAGGTCACACAGAGGCTGGCAATTCTAAGACCAAGGTGCCCTGGCTTTCTTGCTATAGTGTCAAGTGATGGAGATATGAGCATGAGAGAGAGAGAGAGAGAGAGAGAGAGAGAGAGAGAGACCATTTCTGCAAACACCTCTAGAGCAGTGTCCATCTATTCCTGAAGGCAGAGATCCTATACTGCAGTACTGTTATACTGAAAATTTCAGTGTGTTACACGTGAACTTACAGAGACACTTGTAGATGGTACCTCTGAGCCTTCTGCTTTGGTTGTCTAGGTATATCATTCAAGACTGATCATGAAAAGACCTGCTATTATATCAAGACTTTAAGGCATATGTAGTCGATAAGTATTGCTTGGGGTTTGTTGAGTTTGGAGCAACTGTGGTTCATCTATGTATAGTTATAGCTATGTAACCAGAAAAATCAATTCTGAATGTTGAAAGATATGCTAAGGATATTTTGTTGTTTCTTTGGTTTGTGGTGATGGATTTCATTATGCTATTGAGGCTGCTCTTTTTACTAGGTCCAAGTTACCTTCCTGATTTAGCTTCCTGATTTTCTAAGTCACCAAGTCTCATAGCACTGGGAATAAGTATGGGTTAAGATTCCTGTGGTTAGTATGTCAAGTGAGTAATACATGGTGGCATGTTTTGAAGGTGGAGGAATGAGCATCTTTAAGAAGTAGGTAGAAGGTGAGCAGTGTAGATGCATGGGACCAGGACAGATAGCTTGAGGGAAAGAGGCAAAGCATTGAGTTTACTGCACAGTGAGTGTGGACAACACGTGAGAAGTATTACCAACCAAAGCTCATTAGAAATTTAGTGATAAGAACTGTTGTTGAGAGTTGGTCAGGTTAGGACCTTCCTGGTCTCTGAAGAATTTTCCTGTGAGCCAAATTGACTCTTTCTCCTTAGGGATGATGCCAGGATTTTAGTACTGTGATAAAAGTGCGATGTGGATGTGAGAAACTGGAGAGCATAAGGTGGGGCAGCAAACGGAGGGAAGATGATTTAGCTTCTATTTACCTTAAAATATTCAACAATATAGCACATTATAAGTATTTTCATTCCTTTTGTCTTTTCATGCTTTAGGTTTTGAAGCAGCACAATCTGTCTAACCCTAAAGCTGTTACTTCTTAGGAGAGCTGTACTGTTTATTAAATGTCCACCCAGCTTCTCATGCCATGCTCTTTCCTTCCACCAGAGGGCCCACTTCTTCAGTTTTTTTATTTTCTCTCTCCTCTCTCTCTCTCTCTCTCTCTGTGTGTGTGTGTGTGTGTGTGTACGTGTACACAACTTGCACAAATCAGATGTCTCCTACCACATGGATCTAGGAAATTGAATTCAGGACCCCAGCTGTGCCTTTACCTGCTGCCATTTTTCCTGCACATTTTTTCTTTCTTTTTCCAAGTGCCTATTCTTTCTTCCTTTCCTTCCTTGCTTTTTAAACTGCTGCTTTGTATGTATCTTTCTTTTTCAACTTTTTCTTTGTGATTTACTCCAGAAAATCCAGACTTAACAAGCTATGTTTCTGAAGTCTTTTTAAATAATTTATTCTTTTAAAGTTTCATATGTTTATACTGTGTGTATTGATCATATGCATCCACTACTATCTGTAATGAACATGTAGAGAGCTTATGGCACGAGAAGGATATATTTTTTTAATTTTTTTCTTTTAACGTTTGCAGGAAGAACATAGAGAAACGACAGTGTGAAGTGGTCGTTGGAGCGCAGTGTGGCAGTGCAGTTTTAAGAGGGGCCCATGTCTATGTTCCAGGGATCATGGCTGCTTCAAAACGTAGGTGTAAGGTGTAGGCCCAAAATTCATGAGCAAGAGTTGGAAATTTACATACATAAATCCACCTTTGTTATGTATTTCCTGACGTTTTTCCATGGAGGATTTTCTTTTATAAAAATGAGTTAGCTTTAACTGCTTGACACAATGTAGAGTCACTGGGAAGGAGTCATGGGGGATTGTCTAGATCCCATGCTTGTGGGCGTATCTGCGGCAGACTGTCATGATAGTGTTAGTTGGGGTGGGAATGCCTGCCTGGTATTGGCAGCATTCTTTAGGAAATGGGATTCTGGATTGTCTATGGATGGAGAAAGTGAGCTTAGCACTGATGTATGCATTTATTAATTGCTTTCTGCTCTTGACTGAATGCTATATGACTAGCAGCTTCAAGTTCTTGCTGCCTTGATTTCTGTAACTTGGAACCATGAGCCAAATTGAGTCTTTCTTCTTATGTTGCTTCTGTCATAGCAGTAGGAAGCAGAACTTAATATCATTAGGGTTATACACGAAACCGTCTATCACTGTTTGGCTTTTGCATGTAAGAACTCAGATGATGATATTTCTCTAGGGAACAGAAATACAGTGTAAAATGCTAGTGAAGGAGACAGAATGTTCAGTGGTTAAGAGCACTTGCTGCTCTTGTAGAGGAGCAGAGTTAGTTCCCTTTACACCATGTCAGCTTGCTCACAACTGCCTGTAGCTCTGGCCTCTGCTGGTACCCTCATAACACACGGCACAAGCATGGAAGTGCCTGTGCATACAGACACATTTGGTTTTTTATTTTGTTTTTACAAAAGATAGTGAGGTTCTATTTTGTACTCCTGAATTCCCTGCCTTAAAACCTCTGTCTTTTCTCGGGACATTTGTGAGGATGACATCCAGAATCTAAGTCAGTGAGATAAACTTGGCATTCTTTATGGGTACACTGTGGTGATGCCGAATTGTGTGTGCTTAGCTGCTTCCATGGACCCTTACAGGCCTGGAATCAGGAAGCACTGGTTTGGATCCATTACAGATATGCTCATTCTGTGTAGGATGATCTGGATAATGATTGCTTGCTGGCCTAGCATGGCCCTGGTTTCTTTTTTAGTGTGCATTTTTGTTGAATCCATTTGTAGGCAACTTAAAATGGTCAGCATTGAGTCATGATACTAAGATTTATATAACAGTTTTTACTTAGCATTAGATTTGGGGGACCCAAGTTGTATATATGGTATCTCCTGTTTAGTTGAGGATTTAGAGAGGATGTTTTGAGTATCATTTCTGTGTTTTTAATGAAAAAAAGAAACTTCTCCAGTTAGGTGTTAGGAATATTTAAAAGCTAAGAGGTGAGTTGCTATTGAGGATTTTGCTGAGACAATGAGCGAGTTTGGATTGTGTGTTGTCCAAAACTGATGTCTCTCTATATAACCATTTTAGCTTGAAGGATTTTCACTAGTCTGCCAAAGCATAGGTTAACAGTCTGACTTTCTTCTTTCTCTAGTTATGAAAGCTGGAGATATTATTTCTGTGTATTCTGATATTAAAGGGAAATGTAAAAAAGGAGCCAAAGAATTTGATGGAACTAAAGTATTTCTTGGAAACGGAATTTCTGAACTAAGCCGCAAAGATATCTTCAATGGGTTACCTGATCTGAAGTATGTCACTGAACTCTGGGGGAGGGGGGTATAGCTTTCTTCTTATGGTTCAGAAAGCTTAAAACAGTGAAAAGTCATATTTTGTTACACTATATAAATTTTTCAACGAGTTTGACTGGAAAAAAAATGAGCCTATATATCCATGATTTTTGGAAAGAGCTCTTTTTTTTGTTAAAAAGGGTAAATAGAATAAAATACAACAGTAGAATGTGGAAGAAGCTCAGTGGTAGAGTGCATTGCTGACCTGCCCAAGAGGCCCTAAGTTCAGTCTGCAATAATGCAAAACAAAACAAAGCAGGTGAGTGATGGGTCACACTGTGATTGCTCAAGAATGTTACTTGTGCTTTTAGAGTCTGTGCACACTTTGAAAACCAATACTTATCTTAATAGAGAAGTAGATGACATCTTTTCAAACATTCTCATTTTATCAAAGAAAAGTTTAATTTTCATTTAAGTCAAATATAAAAAAATATTTTTAACAAAGGTAAATTAGACCAGTTTTGCAGCATGCATATGGATATTTATGGTCAAAACTAAATGTTTTAATTTGCTCAAGCCGCACTGATATATGACTACTTATATATCATATTTGGATGTTGCTAGTGCTTAGTAGATTGAAGCCGTGAACAAACAAGGGCCCGTTTAGCCTGGTTTCTTCAGCTTGTCTTACAAGTGCTGTAGAGTGCCATCACTCTTAACATTGGCAGCGGGCACACATGAGATAAGCACTGTGAATTGAGCCATTTTGAATGGAACCAGAGTCCTCATTTCTGCAATTTGTCACATTGGAGCAGTTTTCCTATGTGAAGGAAGTCAATTCCTGTAAAACAAAACAAAACAAAACAAAATTGTTAGGCTCTCAGGGTCTAAGAAAGAAAAGCTTTCCAAATGAAAGCTTTTAATTCTAATCCAATTAGAACCTGATTTTATTTGTCTTAGAATGTTTTGTTGATAAAGTTGTCTCTCTGTAGCTATAGTAAGAAGTTGATACCTTTGATTGCCCACTTTTGTTGTTTATTAATGGTGTGCCCTTTATTCTCATTTGATGCCATGTTTCTGGTGACTGCTGAACCATGTTTGCTTTTCTGGTGGGAGTAAAAGGTAGCCATTCTTTAAAAAGCCTACCGGCTTTCTCTGTGGGTGCTAGTGAGATGGAGCACGCCTCTTAGATGCAGAGTTTGTCTTTATGAATCACTGTACATGACACGGTCCTGTGTCCCAGCCTTTCCTGTACCCAGCAGCTCCACTGCCAGTGGTAAAATAGGACAAAAGTAGAATAGGTCATTTGGGGACAGTGTCAGTACTGGGTATATGGGTGTCCTGGGCAGCTGTTCTATAGAAAGATAAGAGTGAGCAGGGTCCTGCCTTTGTCAGTGTTTCGCATTAGCACAAGTCTACATGTTTTCCCCGGTTTTCACTTAAGCATCTAACAGAGTGCCGTATAAATTCAGTCATGCACAACATGTCTGTGTTACCAGATTAGAAAAAAGTTAGAAGAATTAGGTGTTCTTTGCCTTTTAATTTATTGAGCTCTCTAGAGAAACTCTGCACTTACTGATCAGTTACGTAACTTTATTTGGATTGGCCTCTCCAATAAAATTCAAAACAGTCCACAGGACTATTCTAATTTGTTGTTGAATAAAAGAAGTCTTAAAAATGCTGACCAATGTATGTTTGATGTGTCACTTGGATGTTCCTAGAAATATATACCATATAATTTATATAAACTAATGTTTAATTTTTTTTTCTCTAGAGGTATAGGCATAAGAATGACAGAACCCATCTACCTCAGCCCGTCATTTGACAATGTTCTACCCAGTTACTTATTTTTACAGGTAAGAAAAATACTGAGTGCCATGGAAGCATTCAGATGAAATTAGAATTTACTTCTCACTTTTATTAATATTCTTGTGGTCTCTTCATAGTCTGACTTACCATTGTTAAATACCAAGAAAGTCTTATGACTGCTCTTGTTTTCTTTTCCTGTATTTATTTTAACACACTTATCTGTCCTCCTTGTCCAAAGGTGATTTAACACTGTGATCCAGTTATTGCTTTTCATCTCAGAATGTTAATCGCAAGTAATGCACATTCTGAAGTACAGCTAAAGGTTCTAGTAAGAGTAATATTCAGTAGGTTTCAGATGGGCTGCTGCCGGCAGGTTTTTTGTCAAGTTGTAATTAAGTGCTGTGATATAATGGGCTGTTTTTCCTTTTCTAGCTTCTTAAGTACATTTATGGACATCAGTTTATTTTAGTGCTATTATTAGTGTATGAAATGGAAAAATTGAAGAAAAGATCTGTTGGGGGTTCTTGGTCAAGTTAATACTGCTAATAATTGGTGTGGTTCTCCTCCTCCCTGGGGGACTGTTGGCCACAAAGGCTGGAGGAACAGAAGGTGAGAAGCAGGATTCAGAAGGCCTTCAGCATGGAGGAAATGACCTTGGGGAACCCCTTCAGGGGGATAGTTCAATTTTAATTTGGGAAAACAAAGGCTATATACCCCTTGGAGAGTGGGGGGGGGCTAACACAATTGGTAGGAACTGGTTACTTCCAGGGTGCTTGATTTGCATTAAACAGTCTGTTCCTGTTATATGTAAGAGAACACTGTACCTAAGTATCCTATAGGCACAGGTTGGGGAGAGCCAGCGGGGGGGGGGGGGGGGGGGGGGGGGGGGGGCTGTGTCACAGGTCATATATCAAATGTGCTTAAGGGCATCTATGCCTAAAGACACTCTTCAACTGAAGTCAGGCAGAGAGTAGGAGGCCCTGCTGGGGAGAGGGAGTCCTGTACCTAAAGCAAGCTCAGAATAGCCATCTGGACTGGAACAGCAACCTCAAATAGCAGGGTCTTTCCAAAAAATTAACAGTATCTGTTGTTAAACCCACATTCAGGAGCTATGTGCTTTCTTCTCTTCCCAGTATTAAAAGATACTTTACAATCTGAAATCAGAAATACAATCAGAAATAATCTGGAAATTATTTCTGAGCCAAACAGATCAAAAGTAATTTGTGTTTGCTAACCACACCTTGAGGATGGTGTAAAGTGTTAGGACCCATGGTGATTTTAGCCATGGTGATTTTAGTTGTCATATGGTTTCCTTTATGAACTTAGGTGCCATTGTGTATGGTACATAAATGTTTAGAATTGTAATATCTAATATTATATACCTTCTGGTATATTTTCTCCTTAATTTTTGTTTTTCATCTGGTAGGCGCCTGGGTAGTCATTCTCTGTTTGCTGCTGCTGCTGGGTATGGCACAGGGGCTGCAGGATTCTGCTGGGGCCAAATGCCATACTGGAAGCTCAGGCTTCAGACAGGGAACAAGGTTCCAGGTCTCCCAGGATACGGCTAGAGTGCTTTAGGTTGAAGCCTATGCGATAGGCTGGGGTGTGGAAAGACATTTCCAGGGAGTGTTACAGTTTAGCTCTTTTAGAATGAGATCACTGGTGGCAGTGGAAACTTGGGTGTTCCAAAACCTATGGCAATACCAAAGTGTTACCACTGCTTTGCTAAGCATGGCGGAGGCATAAAACTGACCAGAAGACAGATCTGACAAGATGGCTGGATGCAGAGGCAGTGCATCAGTGAGCGGCGTGTGGCTGGCTGACAGTCAAGCTTCAGGTGGTCCAGAAGCTCTGGGTGAGCAGGCAGCTGCTTGATTGGCAGCCAAGTTCAGGTGCCCTGTGGTGATTCTTCAGGGAAGAGGGGAGCCTTGTCCTCTAGGATAAATGACAAATCTCAGGTGCCATTGGGGAAAGCTGATGGTATCCAGCCAGCCCATTTACTTGAAATTAGGGATTTATAAACCTTGGGCTCTTGCAAGGGTGAATATGTTTGATTCGCTGGGGTCAGGGGTGCCAGGGATGCTTGGTTTACATGTAGTGGTACAGTGCGTCTTTTTCCTTGCAGTAGCCGGGTCCTATCACAAGAAGGAGAACACAGACTTAAATATCCTATTGGTGGGGAAATCTCCAAGTGCTGTTGAAGGTCACTGCTGAAAACTAGGATCCTTAGCAGGGTGGTGCATTTCCAGGAAGTCCCAGGTGCCTTCAGAGCAGATTTTCTTATCAGGAAAGGGTAATTTCCTGTAATTGCCTGTAATTTTCCCTGAGGGCAGTGCAATGCTCCTTTCAAAACCTGGCATACCCAGATTGGGGGAAGGCAGGGAAGAATAGGTAGAGCTCAGTTGGCTATCCAGATACATCAGACTTGAACGTTATCCAGCAGAATTCCATACTTAATGAGTATGTAGTGTACTTCTCTATGTCTTTTGATAAGTTTTTGTTTGAAATCCATTTTGTCAGATATTAAGATGGCTTCACCTGTTTGATTAGAATCTTGTTTTCCATCGTTTTTACCCTGTGGTCATGTCTATCCTTGCTGTAAAGGTGTATTTTTTAGATGCAGCAGAAAAGATGGGTGCTTGTTTTTTAATCCAGTCTGTTAGCCTGTGTCTTTTTATTTGGGTAATTGAGACCATTGATATTGAAAGAGAGTTTCTTGATTCTTGTAATTTTGTTTTAAGTTTTTCTGGGATTATTTATTCCTTGTATCCCCTTGGGCATAGTTAACCTCTTCAGCCTGAAGTTTTCCTTCTAGTGCCTTCTATAGAGCTAGAATGATAGATTGTGTGTGTGTGTGTGTGTGTGTGTGTGTGTGTGTGTGTGTGTGTACATACATGCATATGTGTTTGTGATTGGTAATATTTGATGCATATTTTGTATGGGCTAGCCTCTCTGGTCTCTCAGTTTGTAGAACATCTGTCCAGGCAGGCCCTTCCTGAAAAGTCAGGAGTTATTCTAATGGGCCTGCGTTACATGTTACTTAATATTTTCTTGCAACATTTAAATCCTTTCTTTGTTCTGTACATCCATCTTGTGTACAGATATGTACAGGTAGTAGTTACCGTGGGGAATTTCTTTTCTCATCCTATTTGGTGTTCTGCGTGCTTGTACTTTAGTTGGCACCTTTAGATTGACGACATTTTCTTCTGTGATTTTTATTAGAAATATTGTCTATGGCTTTGACTTGGCTTCTTTTTCATCCATACCCATTATTCATAGGTTTTGGTTTTTCATAGTGTCCCAGATTTCCTGGGTGTTTTGTGCCTGTATTTTGTTACTGTTGTTATTTGCTTGTTTTTAGATTTAAAGTTTTCTTTTCTGAGCTGTTCGTTACTACTTCCTGGTCTTTAAAACCTGAAATTCTTTCATGTCTCATAATCTGTTGGTGAGGCTTACCTCTGAGGTTTTTGTTTGACACTTCAAGTTTTTCATTTCCAGTTTTATTTCAGTTTGTGCTTTACTTAGTGATTCTGTTTCTACTTTCATGTCTTGAAATGTTTTCATTATTTCGTTCAGCTGTTTATGCCTTCATTCAGGCATGTATTCATATATTTTTACGGTCCTGGAACATATTTATAATTGGTATTTTAAAGTCTTTGTTTTGTATTCAGCTAACTGTAATTCTTGGGGCCTGCTGCAGTAGGTTACTAGCTCCTGGAAAAGACAAGTTTGTGTTTCTGTGCTGAGATGTTTGAGTAGATATCTGACCTTGTATTTGTTGAGTGGCTGTTTTGTTCTTTGGCTGCATTTGCCCACTGTGGATCTAGGCAGTGGAGGCAGTGCGGCCCCTGGTAGAGATTGTTGACAGCTAACACAAAGGAATTGAAATGGGCTAGTTTTAAGAAAGCCTGAGAGGGCAGCAGGAGGGAAAAAGGCCCCTGGTGTTTGAACGAAGAGGCAGAATCCTAGGGAATGACAATGTGGAGGGAGGGTCTTCTGTAGACAGGCTGCATGCAGCAGGACTAAGTCAGTCTGGAGAGATCTGTGAGAAGGACAGGAAGGATAACGAAGATTGCCTACCTGCCTTTCAGCCCAGGTGCCTTGAGGTTTTTTAGCTACCAGTTTCTTAGCAGGGCGCTGTTTGATCTAGGAGAACCTGAACAAATTGGTTGAATCTAGGCTAGAATCAGGTAACAATAGCTTTCTTAAGGAGTTTCAAAAAAGAAGAGATGAGAAGAGTTAAGTTTTGTTTAAAATTTTTATAATTACATTTATACATTTATAATTTTTGAAAGGAACATTCACTTCTATGGCCTGTGTGAAAGTCAGAAAATAACTCCTTCCACTATGTGGGACTTGAGGATTGAACCCTGGTTATTAGGTTTGGTGGCAAGTGCTTTTACCTGCTGAGCCATCTCAGTGCTCCACATGTAAGATATAGAATTTGAAAAAAAAAATATATATATATATATATATCATCATTATTTTTGAATTCTCATATATGTACTATATTGTCACAAATGAAAAAGTTTCACAGTTTTGCATAATGGCATGAGAACACAGATGGCTTTTCAGAGAAATGTGAACTCTCAAGTGACAGTTGTATTTACAGTTGGTTAAAGGATAGTCACTAAAAGTATAGTAGAGGCACCATGTCAGTTTGAGTGGTTTTATGCTTTTAAATATTCTTAAAACAATATTCACAAGCTTCAAATAACACAGGGAGGCTGAGGCAGAAGAGTGGCACACACACACGTGCCTGCATACACACATGCACACATACACACATCAAATGATAGGAAGAGATTGGTAAGAATAACTTGCAAATCTCCTTTACTCTGAGAGAATAGTAGTCAGTATGCGCATTTCATTTCATTGAAAGCGAAGAAACTGATAGAAGTCATGGCTTGCTGTGACCATTCTGGTTTCAGGGATTTATTTGCTATTATACAAGAGATGAGAAGGGCCCTTCCTAGGTCTTACCTTACACAGACTCTTCCTGGGCCCAAAGTTTTACAGTGCCTTCACACTGATCAGCAGGAATCAGATAAATTGCTACAATGCCACTTTACTCATAGCGCTTCAAACAGCTACCTGGGGTCTGTTTTGGGGGAGTTCTTTAAAAAAAAAATAAAGGAGTTCAGAAATAATTTTTCAATGGCAAAGTCCAGTTTTAGAATTGTATCTCATTGAATCAGGGTCTTGCTTGTTTCTGCCCTGTTGCTGTCCCAGCTAGCTGGCTCCTGAGCTGCTGGATGGTTTTGTCTCTAGCTCCCTTCTCTCCTTGGGAAAGCTACAGTTATTATAGATGCAGCTTTTTAATGTGGGTTTCATGCAGGCTTCACCTTCTGAGCCACTAGAGAGATGAGTGAATGCCCTGTAATTTTTCAAAATATCTTTGAAAGTAGGAGAAAATGCCTGAACTGTAAGTGAATCTTGATGCAAGGTAATACTCTTTATTCTTTAGTAACCCATGCCAGTGGTTGTTTGTTTTTAAAGTTTGGTATTACGCTGGCACTCTGCATTTATTTTCTTCTTTATTTTTTTGTTACAGTTTATTCACTTTGTATCCCAGCTGTAGCCACTTCCCTCATCCCCTCCCAACCCCACCCTTTCTGTCTCTTCGACTCCCATACCCCTCCCCAAGTCCACTAATAGGGGAGGTCTTCCTCCCCTTTCATCTGACCCTAGCCTATCTCTCATCCGGAGTGGCTTGCATTGTCTTCCTATGTGGCTTGATAAGGCTGCTCCTATCGCAGGGGGAACTGATCAAAGAGCCAGTCACTGAGTTCATGTCTGAGACAGTCCCTGTTCCCCTTACTAGGGTACTACCCACTTGGACACTGAGCTGCCATGGGCTACATCTCTGCAGGGGTTCTAGGTTATCTCCATGCATAGTCCTTGGTTGGAGTATCACTCTCAGAAAAGACCTCTGTGCCCAGAATCTTTTGGTTCTGTTGCTCTCCTTGTGGAGCTCCTGTCCCTTCCAGGTCTTTCATCTCCTCTTTCTTTCATAAGATTCCCTGCGCTCTGCCCAAAGTTTGGCTATGAGCTTCAGCATCTGCTTTGATACCCTACTGGGTAGAGTCAGAGGCCCTCTGTGGTGGGTTCCTATCCTGTTTCCGGTTCTCTCCCTTTTCCGATGTCTATCTAGTTTGCCTTTCTGAATGAGGATTGATCATCTTATAGGTCTTCTTTCTTGCTTAGCTTCTTTAGGTGTACACATTTTAGTACGTTTATCTTATATGTCTAATATCCACTTATAAGTGAGTATATACTATGTGTGTCTCTCTGATTCTAGGATACCTCACTCAGATGATGTTTTCTAGTTCCCACCATTTGCCTGCAAATTTCATGATGTCCTTATTTTTAATTGCTGAGTAGTATTCCATTGTGTAAATGTACCACAATTTCTATATCCACTCCTCAGTTGAGGGACATTGGGCTTGTGTCCAGATTCTGGCTATTATGAATAAAGCTGCTGCAAACATGGTTGAACAAATGTCCTTATACTTGAGCATATTTTAGATATATGCCTAGGAGTGGTATAGCTGGATCTTGAGGAAGCAATATTCCTAATTTTCTGAGAAAGTGCCAAATTGATTTCCAAAGTGGTTGTACAAATATATACCTCCCACCAGCAATGGAGGAGGGTTCCCCTTTCTCCACATCCTCTCCAGCATGTGTTGTCACTTGAGTTTTTGATCTTATCCATTCTGATGGGTATAAGGTGAACTCTCAGGGTCATTTTGATTTGCATTTTCCAGATGACTAAGGATGTTGAACATTTCTTTAAGTGTTTCTCTGCCATTCAGTATTCCTCTTTTGAGAATTCTCTCTTTATCAGACCTGTTTGAAACACCTTCAGGTCTCTGCATGTATTTTCTTAAGCCTGCACTGGCTTATAACTTAATAAAAAGGATATTGCTCTTCTTAAGTGTTGGTATGCATGCGTCACAGCATGTGTGTGTATATATATATATAGGTCAGAGGACAATTTGTGGTAGTTTTTTTCCTTCACTATATAGGTCCAGGGGTATCAAAATCAAGTTGTCAGGGGGGTGACAGCTAAAGCAGTTACATGTTGAAGTCACATCAGGTATGTGTAAGAGTTTGGTAGAAGCTATCCCTTTTCAGTTCATATGATTGTTGAAGTCAGCGTAGAGAGCAGATGGGGACAATTCTGGGAAATTGTGGTCTTCATGCCTTTTGATGTCGTCCCTTACCTTTTTGGGGAAGAATCATTATCTCCCAAAATCTGTGTCCTTCATTTCTTCCAACAGTAAATGGGCAAGTGTTATGTTTTGTTTGTTTATTGAGTTGAGAGGCTGCATTGTCAAGACCCCGTCGTTTTTTCTTACAGAATTTGCCATCTGCTGTTGTAGCTCATGTTCTGAACCCTCAACCTGGAGAGAAGATTCTGGATTTGTGTGCAGCACCGGGGGGCAAAGCTACACATATTGCAGCACTGATGCAGGACCAGGTGAGAGTGTCTTCATGGCAGGCTTCTCTCAGATGGCCCCTGTGGCCACGGGAGGTAGGCCAGGAAGCAAGCGTGTTCAACCGAGAGGCTCTTCTGCTGTGTCATTCCACATCCACTTCAGTTGACACTTCTTTAGGAGAACAATCTCAAGAAATTCCCAGTTTGCTAATATAATTACAGACTTGTTCCCTTATGGGATTATTTAGCTGAAATATTTAAGAGATGTTTTCTTGTTCTTAATTTAAGAATCACCTTGATACCTAAACCTCACAAAGACCCAACAAAGAAAGAGAATTTCAGGCCAATCTCCCTTATAAACATTGATGCAAAATTACTCAACAAAATACTCACAAACTAAATCCAAGAACACATAAAAGATATCATCCACTATGACCAAGTTGATTCCTCCCAGGTATGCAGGGGTGGTTCAATATACAGAAATCCATCAATGTGATCCACCATATAAAAATATTGAAAGAAAAAAAAAACCACATGATCATCTCCTTAGATGCTGAAAAAGCATTTGATAAAATCCAACACTCATTCATGTTTAAAGTCCCGGAGAGATCAGGGATACAAGGCATGTACTTAATTTTGGGATTTTAAACTTAAATGAACTACTAAGCTACACACTGTCACTAAAAATTAATTTCAGAGAATGTTATCAGTGTTGTCCTCATATATGGGATCTATGTGCACACATACTGTGAATCAGTAAACAAACATTCAAATGAGCATTCACTGGTGTATTTAGAAAAGAATATAGTCCTGATAATAAGTAAGTCTGATCCTGGATAACTTTCACCCAAATTTTACTGCATATATAAGAATGTCCAAAGAGCTTTCGTTTATTATGGTCTGGATTTATCTGTGTTCAAAACTCAGTAGTGTTGTAATCCCTTCTTTTCTTCAATTAAAGAAACAGGGCTATTTGTTGCCATCTTTTGTTTGTTTGTTTGTTTCAAGCTTGATACAACTTGCTCGCTAAAATTTAACCTGCAGAGAATGGAGCAGTGCAGTGATGTGGGATTCAAGGAGTGTGGATATTTTTTTATGATGTTTGTGTGCTACTGAAAATTTAAGTGAAAAATTGATAGTGTTCATGGAGAGAGAATAATGACTGAATAGGAGCGACTGGCTAGAGATTGATGTGCAGGTGGCGTTAAGTTGTAGCCTGACACAGTTTCCTGGAAAAAGAAGGGAGGTCTCACAGGGGCATGACTTCTGGACTGGGGTACACGCCGTAGCACCGGGCATCCTCTCACCTGTGTTAGTTTTCTCAGTAAGATAGGAAGCAGGGGAACAGATGCAAAGAAATGGACACATCCAGTGTTTACTAAGAAGTTATGAATGTAGTATTCAGAACTCTAATGAGGTTAGTTGATGTGATTTTATGCTTTTCAGCTGTGTATGGGTGGGTGGGAAATAGACAACTGATTTAGCCACAGCAGTGATTGTAATTGTGCGAGAGAGAAGCATGACATATATATAGTTAAGGATGTATAGAAAGGAGTGAGTGATGTGTTACACAAACTAAGATGGTTAAAGAGTGTATCCTTTAAGGAACACTTAAATAGAGCACTTTAGAGGCCAAGGCATGATGACAACTGGTAGGTCAAGGGTTAATTTATAGAGTTTTTAATGTACATACTTTTTTGAGTTTACTCAGAACTTAGATGTGATTACCCATATGATATGAAAGGTGATAGTCTGTCTTAGCTTATAATATATTAACTGTATTTATTAAAAGTAATTTGCTTGGGGTAGGGGCATTTGCTAGGGACTGAAACCAGGGCCTTTGTACATCTAGGCAAGTAGAGTTACCATGAAGGTGTGCTCGCTAGGTGTTTTTTACTTTCTGTGGTAAAACAAGTCTTTCCAAAGAGAATATTTATGAATAAGTCAATTTCCTGCGCTTAAAAATATACTGCCTTGGTGGCCCAAAACTAAACATTTGTTGAGCTGAGGCAGATTAGGGGATTGGGATGGTCTGAAGGCTCTGGTGCAGCTGCAGATAAGCTGGTGTTTCTGGTAATGTCCCGAGTGAATAGTAACATTCACTTGAGTTTATAGTTTTACCTATCTAAAGTGAACTCTGTAGAGACAGCTGGAATGCCCTGCTTCTCTGGTCCTGTGCGTCTCTCCTACTTGCTCGTGCCTGAGGCCACTGGCAATTGCCCAAACACTTTTGTGTATCTTCTTACATCCCATTTACCATCTTGTTGTAAGCCAAAAATAGCCATATGGCCTAGTCCTGGAGTGGCAGGTTGCTGGATACTTTAAGTTTGCTGGAGCTTTTCTTTTTTTTTTTTATTAGTTAAGCAAAGATATAAATGCAGCTCTAGATTTGTGCATTTGTAAAAGTAGCCCACAGGTAGGGGAATTTCTCTTTCTCTGTAGTGTAGTTGAACTTTATTTGGCTCTTTGTTTTTTTTTTTGTTGTTGTTGTTTGTTTCTAATTTTCTTGTTCAGTTCACCTTAAATGTCAAGGTTTGCCTAGTCAACATGTTTGTCCAGGTATTGGATTGTTTTAAAGCCTTGATGGTATCTAGAAACATGACCAGAAAAGTTATGTGTTATAAGTTTGATGCATGTGATATATACCATTTTAAAAACAAGAAAATATACAGAAGAGTTGATCTACCCTGTATGTACTATTACTTCATAGTATTTTTCAAAATACCAACCAAATGACTCGGCGTAATCTTCAAACTGTCACTGAGTGACTTTGACTCAAGTGTGATTTGTTAAGATGTTTTAAAATAGTTTCATTATGACACTTCCATACATAATTTGTCATTGCACTTTGTTTTTCTTTTTCTTCCTCATCCGTTATTCTTCCCATCTCTAATGCTGGCTCTCTTCCTCTTCCTGCTTCCATGTCACATAAATTCCATTAGTATTTTTCTTGCCTCACACCTCCTTCTAGATTACTTCCTTTATTCTCATGGTCCCCTTTTACTTTCATGATGTACACATACACACACACACATACACACACACACACACACACATACACACACACACACAAACCCTTCTGCATGTGGAAGAACATATGCAATACTTGTATTTTTGAATTTTGCTTGTTTTGCTTAACATTTCTGGTTCTGTTCTGTTCATTTTCTTGCAAATGTCATTTAAATTTCTTTGTATATATTTTCTTGAGAATTTTTGTCTGTGTTTACCAGAGAAATTACTCTGTAGTTTTTTGTTGATGTTGTTGTGCTTTTACCTGATTTTGGCTTCAAAAATGAGTTTGACCATGAAGAGTTTGAGTAATATTGATGTTAGCTCTTCTTTAAAGGTTTGTTAGAATAGCTGGGCCTGGTGGCGCATGCCTGTAATCCCAGCATTCAGGGAGGCAGAGGTAGGCGAATCTCTGTGAGTTCGAGGCCAACCTGATGTACAAAACAAGTTCAAGACAGCCAGGGCTACACAGAGAAACCCTGCCTCAAAAACCAAAACTGAAAACCAAAAAGGAAAAAAAAAGTTTGGTTTAATTCAGTGAGTTCTGGGTGTTTCTTTGTTGGGAGTCATCTTGTTACTGCTTCATTCCCAGTCTTTGCTGGGAATCTGCTTAAGTTCTTATTCAAATTTAGTAGACATATGTGCTTAGGAGTTTATCCATTTAGTTTAGATATGCTAGCCTTTTGGAACGTAAAGTATTTGCTAATGATCTATATTTCACTGGCAACTGATATAACATCCTGTTTTGTTTTCTCTTTCAGTTTATTTATAAATTGTGTCTTGTTCTTTTGGAGGGGCTTGTTTTGGATAGAAGTTTATCAGTCTTCACACAAACACTTTTTGGTTGAGTCTGTGTATTATTCTTTTAGATTCCATTTGATTAATTTCTGTCTTTTGCTATTTCTTGCTTTTGGGCTAAGACCTGAAGCAGCATCATGAGGTTGCATATTTGAGAATTTTTTTTTAATATAAGTATTCATAGAAAAAAAACAGCAACAAAAAGTTCATCTTCACAGAGTTCTCTTAGCTACTTCCTAAATGTTCTGATACGTTTTGCTTTTTCTTTTCTAATTAAAAAAATATTCTTTACTTGATTTTTAATGACAATTTTTTGTCATTGAGAAATGCACTTCTTTATTTTCAGTTTCCATATATATATATATAAGTAATTTCCGTAGTTGTTCTTACTGCTTTTAGCTCTATTATAGTACAGTCTGATAAGTTACAAGAAATTATTTTGATTTACATTTGGTAAGATTTGATTTGTGGTTTAGAATTGGTAGGTTTTAGAGAAGGTTCATGCACTCCTGAGATGAATGTATATTCTGTTTGTGTTGGATATTTTTGTAGACACTATGGAGTTAACTGTATTCGGTTTATGATGCTGTTAACTCTGGTTTCTTTGTTGATTTTCAGTTTGGATGATTTATCTAAGGACAAGGGAAAGATATTCAGCTGTTCTGTTGAGACCTGTGTAGCTTTTTATTCCACTAATGTTTGTTTTATGAATTGTTCCTTTCTTAGTATGTAGTGACTTTTTAAATATCTGATTAACTTTGCTTTATACTCTGCTTTTTCAGATAACAGAATAGCTATGCCAGTTTGCTTTTACCCTGCATTTGCTTGATCGATCATATTTCATCATTTGAGCCTTTGTCTATGGGTATTTTTGCTAGTGAAATCTGTTTCTTGAGAACACTAGATGCTTATTTGGATCTGGGTTTTCCATCTACTCAGTTAGGCTTTGCATCTGTATTGGTATGCTGAAGCACGTACATAATTTGCAAGAGATGTGTATTAATTAATTTTGTTTTACATTTATTTGTTCGGGGCAGGAGGAATGTGCATGCAGAAATCGGAAGTCTTATCGGGATCTCTCCATCCACCATGTCAGGTTGGGCAGCAAGTTCTTTTAACCCTGTTAAGCTATCTTGCCAGCCCAGCTAACTTACAGTTTTGTTGATTATTTTCTACTTGGTTAGATTGGTGTGTCTTACTTTGTCCCCTGTAACTATCAAGAGTATATTAATGTACTGCGTTGGATATGGTGGATTTCTTTCTAATTCTCCTTTGGTTAGCCATTCCTCTCAATAAATTTATCCCTTTCTGTTTTCTCATGGTTGAGACTGTCTGTTTTCCTCCTCTGTAGGTAGTGTTTCTTTCTGTTTCTTCTGCAGTTCTTTTTGGTTTTGAGCTGCTTTAATTTGTGCTTATTTTGAAATGTCCTTATTTACCAATTTTAATAGATAGTTTTGTTACATCTGCCAGTATTGGTTAGTAGTACTTTATCTTGAGGGCTTGAAATACTACATTTTCTTGGCTTTTAGGGCTGCTGTAAGAGATCTGTGTTATTCTGATGTGGTTGTTCTTGTAACTGACTTGAAGTTTTCCTTTGCATGTTGTTTGTTTGTTTCCTCTGTATGTTGACTGTAATAAGTTGTGGAGAGATTCTTCTCTGAGAATGTCTAGTTGGGTTTCTAGCTCTGTCTGTCTGTCTCTTTTTGTTTAAATGTCCATTTCAGTCTTTGTATTTGGGAAGTTTTCTGCTGTAATTTCATTGACTAGATTTACAATATTGTGAATGCTTATCCCATCTTTTTCAGTCCCATGCATTTATAGTTTGGTCTGTTTATTACATGTGTTTTTAAATGTTAACATCATGCTGTTTTTATTTTAAACTGTTGCGTGACTCTTGAGTCACGATCACCTGCATGCCAGAGTTCTTGGGGCTCTACAGTACTGAAGTGTGCTAAGTGGCTCTTAGGGTTGAGCCACACTCTGACCTCAGGCTCAGTCCACCACACACCAGTGCTGTTCCCAGTCAATGAGATAGTGAGGAGTTCTGGCTGTGCCCCTTCGTGACTTGAGTTGACCCTCCTGCAGCCTATGCTTGCCAGCACTTGGCTCTCCTGCTCTGCCCAGCCAAATCCCAGGCCTGTTTAAGTTGCCCGACTTATGATTCTTGCCTTATGATTCTTGTGCCACAGGGTGGTTCATTTGAAATAATAGCATCCCTGTTGAGATAGCACCCCAGTCTCTTCTCACCAGAGCCACCCATGATCATGCTGCTGAGCTGTGTTCCTGTCACTACCCCTGTGGCTCTGACCCTCTTCCTCTTTCCTTTTTGGAGGAGTCTTTGCTTTGCTGGCTGTCTTAGTTAGGGTTTTCTTGCGGTAAAGACATACCATAACCACAGCAGCTCTTATAAAGGAAAGTATTTAATTGAGGTTTGCTTACAGTTTAGATGTTAAGTCCATTATCATTATGGCAGAAAGCATGGTAGCCAGGCAGACATGGTGCTGGAAAGGAGCTGAGAATTCTACATCTGGATACTCAGGCAACAGGACGAGAAAGTAAGCCATTGGGCCTGGCTTGAGCTTCTGAAACCTCACAGCCCATCCACAGTAACACACTTCCTCCAGTTAGGCAATGCCTACTCTAACAGGTCCATATGTTCCAATCTTTGAAATAATGAGCCTATGAGCCTATGGCAATGTCTTCATTCAAACTACCACACTGGCTGTTCTCCTAAACTGGGCATTCTCCGTTGCCTGGTGTCCTTTAGCAGCATTTGAACTTTATACCTTTTCAAAGCATTTTACTGTGATGCACAAAAGATTGGGTTCATGACTTCATCATTTTGTTTACCATAGTCCAAAAAATTTTGTGTAGCTGGAAAATACTAAGATGAGGGTCAGTTTTACAGATACTTGTTTGTACGTAACTCCTTTAAGCTTCATAAAGGAAACGTATAGTTTTCCATAGGCGAGCAGTCACTTGAGATTAGTGGTGTTAGGTTTACCTTCAGGACTGTTTGTGTTTCATGAAAATTTTGCAAACTTATGTGTTTCAGTTTTGATTTATGTAGATAAAAGGTAGCTAGGTTTAGGAGCAGTTGACAGGGATGTGTTTGTTTACAGGAAAGACAAGGTATTTTGGAATTAAGTTTTCATTGCTGGGAGCTGATGTACATTTTGTTAACGATTTCAGCAGGTATGGGAGGAGAGCAAGAGAATATAGTTTCACACTATTTTTTATTACTGTTTTTCATAATTGGATTTATACATTATTTTTGTTTTTTTAGGGAGAAGTAATAGCATTGGACAAAATATTACCTAAAGTGGAGAAATTAAAGCAGAATGCTTCATTATTAGGGCTTCATTCTATCAGGGCATTTTGCTTTGATGCAACGAAGGCTCTTGAACGTGGTATGATTGATGGCACAGAAGGTAACCCGAGTTTTTGTTGTTGTTGTTGTTCTGTGTTTTCTTCTCATAATTGCATGTACTCATTAGATCTTGATACAGGTCTGAATGTGGAGTGAGCAGAAAGAAATTAAGGTTATATGTTAGTGTTTATGTACTGTATAATATAATGTTAACGTTTTAGTAAGTTAACGTTTCAATGGCAAGATACTCAAAATTCCAAAAATTTACTCTTGATAGCTTTGAAATACAATATATGTTATTACTAAGTATAGAATCTCATTGTGTCTAGATCTCAAAAAAGTTACTCTTCCTGCCTAGTTAAACTTATTAACTTTTCCACAGTATCTCCCTGTCCTTCCTTTTCAGTCCCTGGTAACCACTGTCTCTCTATCTGCTTTAGTATGTTCTGCTTGTTAGCTCCGGATAAGATTGTCTCTTGGTGCCTGGCTTGTTTTTTCTTAACATAGTGTCTTCTGGATTCTTCTGTGCTGTTGTAAGTGTCAGATGTCTTTTCAAGGCTGAATAGCATTCCATTGTGTACATGCACTACATCTTTTCATAGCATCTCTTGTTGGGAAACATTTGAGTTGATTCTGTAGCTTTGCTGTTGTCAGCAGTGTTGAAGTGAACAAGGCAGTACAGCTATCTCTGACGATCGCTCCATTCATAGATTCCCACTAGCAGGTATGATTCTGCATCACACAGCACTTTGATTTCTTGTTTGAAGAACCATGCCATTGTCACTAGTGTTGTTTTAATTTATGGTCTTACATGGTTTACATGTGCCCTTTCTTCCTCCACACTCTCACCAAATTAGCTTCTGTTCTTTTCTTTTGATACCTACCTGCTCATAGGGATCAAGTTTTGTGTCTCACAGTTTTCATTGCATTTTCTTGAAGCTTAGTTGTAGTGAGCATATTTTTCATGTACCCACTGGCAATAAGAGCAATTAATGCTTACCTAAATTCGTCACCCATTGATTTGTGTATTAGTTTTATGATAAAACACCTGGCAAAAGCAACCTAAGGAAAGGTCCTTTTTGCCTCACAATGTGAAGGTACATCGTGTGTTACTGACCTCCCCATCATGGTGTACTCTGTTTTAATGTCACCTCATAATGGTGCATTTTGTGTTAAAGCCCTCTCCATTGTGGTGGGGAGGATTTGTGTAATGTCAAGTGCTTCTCCAGCTGTTGTAGCAGGAGCATGACAAACTGATCACATTGAATCATAATCAGGAAGCAGAGAGAGATGAACCCTGCTTTCCACTTCTCTGTTCTTTATTCAGGACTTGAGCCTATACAATGCTGCTGCCAGGTTTCAGGTAGATCCCCTGTCCCGTTAAAAATCTCTGGAAATGCCTGCACACACACCCCCCCACTGACACCTGAGGTGTTCATCTTAAGTGACCCTAAATCAAGGAAGTTCTAGTGAAGAGCCATTACAGGCAGGAATAGTTGGACTTTGTTTATTTTTTAGTACAGTTACTCTGTCTTTGTGTGAAATATTTACTCCATTTCATTCCAGTAAATAACTGAGTGTTGAAGACTTGCTCAAGCCATTTGTTCCTTTTTCCTTTGGTGATGCACAGATGTGTTTGCCTCCTGTGTTGCTGTCTTTCCTCATAATTAGCTGGGTTTCTGTGTGCTGTGTTTTTAGTCTTCTGTTTATACACCATAGGTTTTGGTAACCCAACTTATCAACTTTACTGTCAAACATACCCACCACCGGCCATTTGAACCTCATAATGACTGACGTTTTCATTGAAAGCCCAAGATTTTTTCTTAATTTTCTATTTTATTGTTTTTCTTGCATAATATATGTATATATGTATGTATGTTTTGTGTATCCCTAAACAAATTATTGCAACTTACAATTTTTGGTGCGACTGAAATGTCCCCATAGTCTCTGCAGTTGAGCTTCCTGTTTTCCTTTATGCACTGTGAGCATCTTCCTTTTTTTTTCTTTTTCCTTCTGACTATATATTTTCAAATCATTCCTCTTTGGATGTAACTTATTTTTCTTCTACTCAGTGACTTCTCTCTTTCATTGTATTTTACAGCTCCATTTGTTGAATAGTCTGTCTTTCCATTGTACACTTTTAACAAATAAGAGGTGGACACAGCTGTATGGATTTAAGACATGTGCTCCATTTCTTTAGTCTGTGTGGTCTGTGTCCCAGTGTCATGGGCTTTTATTTTCATAGCTTTGTGGTGAGAGCTGAAGCTGGGTGTTAGTAGCACTGGCCTTTCTGTCTAGGGTTGCTTTGATTATTTCAGGTCTTTTGGCTTCTGTGTGAATTTTAGGATTTCATTTTTCTGTGAAGAATGTCATTGGATATTGTTGGTGGTGTTATTGAATGTTGCCTCTGCGTAATAGAGCCATTTTCACAGTTTTATTCTACCATACATGGGCATGGGTGCTGGTCTTCTGTCTTTCTCTAGTATTAGGAAAAGCTTCTGGTAAATGGAACATTAGTATTCTTACAGCATATTATAGAAGTTGTATTGCCTGTCTGGTTGTAATTTCACTTGCACCAAGTGTATTTGGTAATTATTTTTGTGACATTAATCTTTAGTGTCAATATAACCATCCTGTACCATCGATTAACTACACTGTCTTGGCTTCATGTTTGTTGTAACAAAGATTCTGCAGAAACAACTTAAAGAAGTAAAGAGTTTACTTGGCTTGCTGTTTTCAAAGGGTTCAGTCCAGGTACAGGCAGGGCATGGCTCAGGAGAACAGTCCATGTGGCAGCCAGGAACCAGAGCAAGAGGGGATTACATCTAGGGCAAGCTACTGGTTCCAAAGAACATTCCTCCAGCACTCTCCAACAAGCCTGCCTCTTGTCTTCTACCACCTTCCAACATGAGGAATTAATCTAGGTCTCAGACCAGGGCCCTGTGACCAAATCTTCTCCGAAATATCACGAACATTCCCACAGATGGACCTTAATAATGCCCCAGATACTTCTTAAACCAGTCAAATTGGCAAGAAAGAGCAGCCATCACATACTCTATTAGGAATGGTGAGATTGGCATTGGCACTACCCTTAACAGGGCTACCAGGTTAGTTGTGCCCTATAAAGTGTGAATCAGTTCTGAATTACTATCTGTTATTGGTTTGTCATAGTGGAAGACTCTGCAAATATGGAACTTCTGGACCATGTTCTAGTTTGCACAGGCAATTGTTGAAAGTTGTATTTCAGATAAATTCGCATGGTCACAGGGTGAAAAACAAATGTACAAAGTCTAAATTTAAATCAACAAGAGACCATTTAGTGTGAAGATAAGTGATAGGAGGACCAAGGCAAGTACACACTTGCAGGCTGTAAAGCAGGAGATCTGTGTGGCAGCCTGGAACTGCTGGCTGCCAGGAGGAGCACTGCCTAGCTGCTGCAGGTGCCTTTACACACAGCAGGCTCTTCCTGGACATGGGCCTGAAGTACCACCTATCGAGGGCCCATCGGCTCCAGGCTGTTATGTACAGGAAATGCTGGAACTTGCTCATGCAAAAGTAAAAAGGACTGTGAAGGTTTTGGCAAGAAGAGCTGGTGTAGAGGAGAAAGTCTGCTCTCTATCCCTGTTGTCTTTCGTCTCCCCCACGCCACCACCTCACCCCCTGTTCCTCTTGTCAGTGGCTCTTGCACCTGGCAGGCAGTACAATAGTAGGATGGTCATTTGTACCATTTTAATATGATTTCACACTGTGGACCACCTGAAAGAGTGAAAGCAAAGCTTTGATAGTTGACAATTATGTATACAGGTTAAAAAACCAAAGCTAAGAAAGTAGATTGTGAAAATCTTCATAGAATATTATATTCTAGAAGATAAAACTATATGCTAGAGTTGTTCTGTTCAGTAAGAAAGGCAGTGGTTTCAGTACAGAAAAATTACACACCAGGTGTACTTATTTAATGGAAAAACACAATTGGTCAATAAAAAAGGCCATTTTGATGAGGCTTTCAGGGAAACATGATGACAGCATGTTCTATTATCTCCTTTTTTGCTGTTGAGTAAGGAGGATACCAGTATTCGTCAAAAAAATGAATAAATAAAAATCTCTTTGAAAAGTATTTTTTCCAAAACAGTGTAGATGAAATAGAAAGAAAAAAAAAAAGGTTCTAGATGGAGGTGGGTTAAATTGATAATGGCTTGTATCTTAACAATCTTGTAACCAGAGAAAAAAACAGAAAGTAATTCTGGGTTTAAATAAAAATGTTCAGTAACAGTGCCAAGCTTGCAGGTGAAAAAAATACAAGTATAATGGAACCAGTTTCATGACTTTCTCCAATAAAACCAAATATGTCAGAAATTACTCATATCACACAAGGGACGCTCGATGGACTATTAAATTCAGGAGGCTAATGAATCATGGACAGTAACCACACACATTGCTGTAAAGCCAGGAGACTAAAGCACAGTAGCCAGAACCCTCGTATCTGAGCAGAGCTCGGCAGACCCTGACTTTCGGGAGCTGCCTGCAGACTGGCTCTGGCGCGCTACGGCTTCTGACATTGAGAGCTGAAGGTCTTACTTGTTTTAGTGTGGGGTTGTGTTATACTAACAAAACTCATCTACAACAACTGCATTTTGATGTTCTTACAAAGTGAAATTCATGTGAAATATGAGTCATGATTAGTCTATACAAGTAGTTGCTTAAAGGGAGAAATTATGTCTGTTTACCATCTTGGATTGTAATAATAATATACATATATTATTACATGTAATATATATCATAAATTCTCATATATCTCAAGAGTATTGTAGTTTAGACCTATGTATCAGATAATAGGTAATGTTTATAATTCTCTTTTATAGGGGCACCTCCATTCTTACCAGAGTCTTTTGATCGAATTCTCCTTGATGCACCCTGCAGTGGGATGGGACAGAGGCCAAATATGGCTTGTACTTGGACTCTGAAGGAAGTGACATCGTATCAGCCACTGCAGCGAAAACTCTTTAATGTGGTACGTGATGATCTTTGTGTGCAAAAACTTCTCTTCAGAGCCCATCATGGCAGCAGGAGCATCAGACACCTGGCCACATTGCATCTGTAGAGAGACGCTGAGAGGAGAGGATGCTAGTGCTCATCTCACCGTCTTATCAGTTCCAAACCTCAGCCATGGAATAGTGCTCCCACAATGAGGATGGGTCTTCCCACCACTTCACCTAATCTAGAGTTTGTCACAGGTGTGCCCAGAGGCTTGTCTCTTTGGTGATTCTGGATCCTGTCCCAATGACATTAACCGTTGCTCCTATGAATCCCTGGGTTAGATTTCAGCAAGACATAAGCTGACTAACACAGTACACATATGATCCTGAACTCTGGAAACAAAGGCAGGGGATCATAGGTTTAGAGTCATCTTGCTAGACGGAGAATTTGAGGCCGGGGATATATGAGAACCTGTCCAAAAAGACAACAGAGAAGGTAAACTTAAGAGATTTGGAAGAAATTTATTTTAACATGGCAATACAAATCCTGATGCTCATTAAATACCTACAGCATGCAAAATTCTGCCTCGATCATAACCAAGAAAGTGGACAATCTATGCCATTCTCTAAGAGCCTCTTTTCTGACTGGCAGTTTGTTGTATTGCATGCCATTGATGCTGTAGACTGACCTTGGCCAGGAAGGAATGCTGTGACCAGGAAGAGCATTTTAGGAGAAGACCTGTAAGCAACAAAGGGTGGAACATTGTGAAGGAACAAGCAATATAGAGAAGTAGAGTTTCTAATTCTGGTGCCCTCAAGTAGCAGTGCCTTGGGGTGTTATAGGAACAGCAGGCCCATGTTGCTAATGCAGAAGGGCAGAAGGGAGGTCAGTATTGCAGGAACACCTAACTTTGCTTGAGAAGCTGAGAAGGAACAAGTTGAAAAGTATTGCTTAGACTGGCATGTGGAGATTGGCTTATAGGAGGTCAGAGAAACATAGGCAGATTTAACTGTTGTGTAATGCAGCTGAAAGGTAGAGGCCAGAACGGGAATGATGGTAGTGGATGTTGAGCATAGTAGCCAAAACCTGGACACATTCCTCTCCCTCTCTTGGTATTCACACACATTTATTTTTCAATGTGCCTGAGTGTGTGTATGTGTACCATGTGCATGCAGACACCAGGAAGTGTAAGAAGAGGGTATCAGATCACCTGGAGCTGGAGTTATAGGCAGTCATGACCCATCATATGGCTGGTGGGGAATGGAACCCAGGTCTTCTGCAGGAGCAGTAACTGCTGTTACCCACTGAGCCATCTCTACATTATACATTGAAAGTAAGGCCAGTAGGGTTGATGAGTGGATGGGGAGGATGAAAGAACTACAGGCAGAAATGGTGCTCAGGGCTGCAGCTTTGGTAAGCCTAGAAAGGCCTTTCAGCTAGGTTTCAAAGGCTCGTGAGTATTTACTTAGGGACATATTAATACTTATTTATGGACACATTAGTTGAGATCACAGGGACAACTGAGTACATGCAAATGGGATTCAGAAAGGAAGTCTCCTCTACAAATGTAAGTTTGAACATAAAGATACCATGGAGAGAGAAATAACTGAAGGTTGTATGTGGGAGCCTGAGTTTGTGTGTATTGTCAAGCTCCTGGTAAGGCTGCGTGCCCCCTGCAGTATACACATTGTGCTGTAACTGCTGGAAGAAGCCATGTCGTACAGAACGGCATTTTATTTCCACCAAGTGCCTGCAAGCTACCTGTGCCACTGTGTCACTTCTTTTGGGGTATTTATTGGGTCTTATGGCATGCATAGTCTCATCATTATTTTCTTCAGGCGGTTCAGCTGCTGAAGCCAGGGGGAGTGCTGGTTTACAGCACGTGCACAATAACGCTGGCAGAAAATGAGGAGCAAGTTGCCTGGGCCCTCAGAACATTCCCCTGCCTTCAGCTTCAACCCCAGGTGAGGATACTAATGTTTTCCAGTGTGAAGTACACTTGCATACACACACAGGGTGCTAGAGTGCTGGTATGTTCACACTGACCATAGGGATTCGTATGACCCGATGAGAACGTTTCTGCTCTCTCTGCCTTCTGCCATTGTACTAAACCTGGGCAGGGCTTTAGTATCTTTCTGCTACTGTTTATTCTACTTGCTCTTATTAACATTGCATTTCTAAAAAGTGCTTTTTTTCTTTTTGGTCACACTTCTGTGTATGGGTATTTTGCTCACATATGTGTATGTGTGCCATGTGCATTCCTGTTGCCCACGTCAGTCTGACAGGGCATCAAATCCCCTGAATGTGCATTATAGATGGTTGTGGGGCACCATGTGTGAATGCTGAGACCCAAAGTGGGTCCTCTGTAAGACTGTCACTTCCTTCCCATCCTGCATTTTTCTGATTTGGAGAAGATTGAGCATTTTTGCCTCCTGCCACGTCAGACACACTTCTGCAGCAGTGGGCTTCAGGATCTCAGAAAACAAGCCAGGGGATAAGCTGCAGCTCACAAGTGTCCCCTTTACACTTTTACGTTAACACAGGATACTTTTAAAGCCTTTTGTAGTTTGTTTTAGTGAGCATTAACCTGAATTTTTGTTAGGATTTTTATTGAAATGGATTCAATTTTGAGATTTTTATGTCTAGAGGAGTGCTATCATTTGGAGCCATTGAGCATCTGACTTTGTGGCTTCTCCCTGACAGGCAGTCAAAACATAAAAGGTTAAAAACAATCTAGAAATGATCCCTACACTGAGAGGTTAAGATAATTACATGAAATGAAAGCAAGACTTTCAAAATTCACATGGAATCTGCATGAAAAAGTAATGGAAAATTCATCTGTCTCTGTTCTGACAATAGTTTCTTCTCCACCAGTGTTCAAACTCTTGTCTGTGGAATGGCAACTTATTGGCATTTATGGATCTTTGGCACTAGATATTTGGCACATGATTTTCAAAAATCACTGAATTCTTTCAGTTTCCTTAAAACGTAGTTGATATAGCCGTCATTTATACATTATTTTCTAATGTGTATTCTTCTAATGTATACTAAATAAGAAAACTTTCATTATAGAGTTGGTGAGGTTAAAGGCATTTCAGCTGTCTCAGGGCCTGCCTCCTTTCACCATTAGAGAATGAGAACAGTGATTTCATTTATCCATGTTACACTAGGCCCAATAGTGTCGTCTTTATTTAGCTTAAGAACTGGGTATTATACGTATTTTATATGAGTAAATGGAGTTGGGTGAAGCTGCTTGCTTAGGTCATAGCTGAAATATGTTGGAGCTGCATTTTAAGTCTACAAGCATCTCATCACAATATTCAGGCCTTTCATAATATCAAAGTGCTTGATAAGCATGGAGGATCCTAAATACATGAGAACTCCTGTATCAGGTGGCCACATGACACCGTTTCTCCACACCTCTCGCATTGGCACGTGCATCCCACAGAAGCAAGTGCACTTACATGTACTTGTGCTTCTGGAAGACGTCACATGCACAACCAGTCTGTCTTTTTAACTTAAGCTATGCACAGGCAACCTACTAATGTAGCACATTCAACCACACTTGTTCATCCCTTCACGACAGGAACCACAGATTGGAGGAGAAGGAATGATGGGAGCTGGCCTGTCACTGGAGCAGTTGAAACAGTTGCAGCGATTTGATCCATCTGTTGTGCCACTGCAGAACATGGCCGCTGATTCTCTCGGAGATGCTGGAAGAGAAGACATGATCTGGCTGGCCAACAAAGATTGTATAGGCTTCTTTATTGCAAAGTTTCTAAAATGTAAAATTACAGAAGAGAGGGTTTTTCAGAAATGAAAATTCTGAATATTTTCTAAGTGTGGCGCTTTCTCTTTTTCTTTTTTTGTTTTTTTGTTTTTGTTTTTCTTTTTTATCTCATATGTATTTACCTTTTTAAAGCAGAATGTGATTGGGCACTATTTCCATTCAGAAGCCTTGCTGAGTTACGAGACCTATGGAAGAAGCTTAGGGTTTGTTCTCGGTACTTGGAAAAACAATCCACAAGGGGAATTCCTCTGTCAAGTTGTCTTAACTTGTGTTCATCTAAGACTAGTACATGTAGAATTAAAACTACAGGGAATGGAAAAAATTATAAGATAAAACTTAAGCCATCTTAATTTTTTTTTCTTTTCTAAACATGTATATCTCAGAACACTTAAATTGACAAATGATTTGGTCTACTAAGGAATCCATCTCAACAGCTAAATACTTCAGACCACAAACTTGAAAGTAGATTATACTATGTCTTAAAACAAACGTTCTACCAACCTGTGGGATCAAACCTATATAATCATAGTATCACAAGTAGAAAGGAATTTTATCTTCCCTTAGTTTTCATGCCATAGGTGTTTTAAATGTCAACAAAAATCCTGGAAAATATATTATCAGAAGGAATGAGGGTAAGTGTAAAACACATAGTTTTCTGGTGAAGCTTAGTCTACTTCTTCCATGTGTGATGTGTCATCATTTCCTTCCAGGGGTGTCATTTCTTAAGTTACAGCAGCACTGCTATCATCCACAGTAGAGTCATCCTCATCAATGCCTAGACCAACCTTGATTATCCTGTAGATCCTGTTAGCATGTGTCTGGGGATCTTCCAGACTGAAGCCAGAAGACAGGAGTGCAGTTTCATACAGCAAGATGGCCGGATCATTCACAGACTTGTCCTTCTTGTCAGCCTCTGCCTTTTGCCATAAAGTTTCAATAATGGAGTGATCAGGGTTGATCTCCAAGTGTTTCTTTGCTGCCATGCAACCCATTGTTAAGGTGCCTCTGAGTGTTCATGATTCTCTCTGTGGTTGCTGTCCACCCATATGTGCTTGTGACAATACAGCATGGGGATGCCACCAATCGGTTTGATGCAACCACCTTTTCAGCCTTTTTCTCCAAAATTTCTCTTTAATTTTACAGAGGTTTTCAAATTATGTCTTTTTCTCTTCCTGTTTCTTTTTCTCCTCTTCATCTTCTAGAAGTTCCAGGCTTCTTTGGTAATGGACACCAAGGTCCTGCCCTCTAATTCCTTCAGCTGTTGCACAAAAAACTCATCAATAGGCTCAATCATATAGATTACTTGTAAGCCATGCTTTCGGAGACGGTCCACAAAAGCCGAGTTAGCAACTGGGTCATTGGTCTCACCTGTGATAAAATAGATGTGTTTCTGGTTTTCCTTCATTCTGGTGCAGTAGTCCTTGAGAGACACCATCTCATCCCCAGAAGTGGATGAGTAGCATCACAACAGCTCTGAAAGCTTCTAGCTTCTTCCAATTTTGAGAGTCTTCATGAATTCTAAGCTTTATAGTTTTTGAGAACTGCTCATAAAACTTTTTGTAGTTTTCTTTACTTCTGCCAGTACAGCAAATAGTTTGAAGCATTTCTTGACCAAATTCTTTCTGATAACTTTCAGAATTTTGCTTTGCTGCAACATTTCACAGGGAACATTTAGAGGGAGATCCTCAGAATCCACTACTGTAATGAAACTCAAGATACTTGGGGATTAACTCCTCACAATTATCCATGATGAAAACTCTTTTGTGTACAGTCAACTTTGATGTTCTTTTTCTGTTTCCAAGCAGAACAAAAGGAGTATGTCTTGGAACAACAAGAAGGGCCTGGAATTCCAATTGTCCTTCAACAGAAGAATATTTTACTGCCAAATATTCTTCCCAGTTGTTGGTTAAGCCCTTTTAGAACTCTCCATATTCTTCATTAGTAATGTCATAAGGATTTCTAGTCCAGATAGGCTTTGTTTTGTTGAGTTCTTGATCAATGTACATTTCCTTTATCATCTTTTTGTCTCCATCCTTCTGTTCTTCTTCATCAGAACCAACATCTCCTTTTTTGCAAGCTTGTCATCAGATTCCTTTTCTTCTTTTGCTCTCTCTTCCTCTTTATCTTTTTTCTTCAACCTCATCCTCACTGACTTCCTTACCATATTCCTTCTCCACAAAGAGAGTAATGGGATAGCCAGTAAACTGAGTGTTTTTTCAGTCTCCTTTATTCTTTCCTCCCAATACTCAGTTTGGTCTACTTTCGGATGCAAGATAACCTTTGTTCCACAGCCCATTGCTTCACCTGTGTCAGTTCTCACTGTGAATGATCCCACCACCCCCCTCCCCGAGGATTCCCAGGCATATTGCTCATCATCGTTATACTTGGTGATGACAGTCACTTTCTCAGCAACCAAATATGCAGAGTAAAAACCAACACCAAAATGGCCAATCATAGAGATACCTGCACCAGGCTGCAGAGCCTCCATGAAGGCTTTGGTGCCAGAATTGGCAATAGTGCCAAGGTTGTTGATTACATCGGCCTTGGCCATTCCAATCCCAGTATCCACAATTGTGAGGGTGTGATCTTGTTTGTTGGGAATGAGATTGATATGCAGCTCCTTCCCCGAGTCTAGTTAACTAGGATCTGTTAGGCTGTCATATCTGATTTTATCCAGAGCATCTGATGAATTTGAGATGAGCTGTCTCAGAAAGATCTCTTTGTTCGAATAGAAGGTATTGATGATCAAGGACATTAAGTGGGCCATTTCTGCCTGAAAAGCAAAAGTCTTGACCTCCGTTGGTTGGTCTTGGTCAGGCATCTTTGCTGAATGACCGCACACAAACTGCGAGTAGCCTCACCACGACACTGAAGCACCTCTGTGCTGCTTTTTCTTACAACAAAACATGGTTAGATGAACAGAGTGATGGCATGGTTGCACAGGAAACAGTTTCCCCGGGTTCAGAAGGAGCAGTGTGTATATGTGAACCTGGAGACAGGGGCATAATTGGCCTTGTACAATATGAAGGGAAAAGAGGTGGTGTCTGAGGGTGTCTGGAATATAATTTCAGTTTTAATTGATAAATATTGGTCTTTCTAATGTAGGAAATAGTTTAAAAACAAAAGAATAAAACTCCAAACCTTTCAAGTGCTTATGAAAAACTATTTTCTGCTCCTAAGACAGTGGTAGTTTCTTCATTATGCATTCAGAGCACACACAGTAACAATGACTGCATCATGACTGAGATAAGTAGGCTTGTTACCCGAGTCTCTTCCTCTGTCTCTCTCTCATTACTAGTTATAAAGCTGGCTTTTAATTTAAAATTTATTTACTGCGTATGATTTATGTGTGGAAGTACTCAGGCCAAGGCACATGTAGAAATTGACTCCTTTAAGAGTCAATTGTCTGCTTCCACTTTGGGTTCTGAGGCTCAAACTCACGTCATCAGGCTTGTGCAGTGAGTACTTTCACTTGCTGAGCCATTTCATCAGCCCTCAGCTCTCTTCTAAATAAAGCTTCGACTTGTGCTAAATAATAATCTAAAAGGTGAAGTATTGGTACATAAAAAGGCAATTGAGAGTAGTCTACATTTGGGCTGCATTTTATCATCATCTGGAACAGAAATCATGGAAAATAATAAAAAAGTACTTGGTGAGAAGGAGAAAAACAAGTTCTGATAGCTGAGGCCTGCCTGGCTTGACACTGTCCACTGGGCCTTTGCTTTCCTTGATGAACTTAAGCATCATCACAAAGCCGAAGCTCCAGGCAGCTGTATTCTGATAGGTCAAGACAGAATAAGAGCTCTTCTTAATCAAATCTGAACTCAACTTGGACAAAACAAGAACTTCATCCACCCAGCAGAAGTGCCCAAGCGTCCTTCCACAGTGGCCATTCTGCCCTGGCTACATTCTGGCTTCATTCGACCTGCTTTGTAGATAAATCCAGCAACATTCGAAAGGCCTCATATGTGGGACACACCAGACCAAATTGTTATCTTTTATTTACATCCTTCAAATTACTGGGCTTTGGGTGTCAAGCAGACAACTGGAACCAATTGCTACAGGTTTTTTTGTTTTTTGTTTTTTTCTGTAGAAGGTCTCAAAATGACTTACCATATCTGCAATGACAGCAGCAGCTCCTGGGTCAGATATATTCTTGGGTAGCTTCTGGCTTCTTTTGAACAGCTGTGAGCTCTGTACATCTGAGTACCTGTATCCATAGCTCTCAGCACACTGTGACTCCAGTTTACTGTGTTATCCTGAGCTCACTCCTACACTTGGGAAATGTACCAGGAGATTTAAACCAGTTCTTTTCTATCACTGCTTCAGAGTAGATAGTTAAAAGGAGTTTATGGAATATGAAAAATAATCTTGAATTTCCTATTCAAGTATATAAGCAAGCTTCTTCCATCGTTCATTCTGCCTGTGTCCAGTAGATGCTGTTTTGACTTAAGAGCAATACCATCTCCATGTGGCACTTCTCTTTCTGGGACTCAGTGTAGTCCCTTGGATTCTTAAAATGCATTTTAAGCAAATCTGTAATCACGGTTTCCTTCCTTGCTCTCTGCACATCTTTATGGGCTAAGCCAGGGTGAGAACAGGATAGAAACAGCCTAGCAGCAAACTTGCATGGTGTCAACCTTTAGTTGCTCTAGTAAATAGCAGCGTGCATGCAGAGACAGCAGAACTCTGCATGTGTGTAAAACAGCAAGGACACAGAATAGTGTTAACACAAGCCATTTGCAGTGGATTTCTTCCTTTCAAACGAAAGCAAACCACATATCCTTTAAAGGCACAAAAATGTTAGGAAAAGTGAACTGAAAAAAATCAGGGAAATGTGAAGGGATATATCTTTTAATATACTTAGTTTTAATATAGATTATGAAAAGAAAAAGGCATTTACTCAATGGCAAATACATTTTAATTAAGACCCTATGTTAGATTTAGTTCATATAGCAAAGTGAAGCAAAACAGTTAATAAGACCCAGATGCAGCAGTACAGCACTTGCTGGAATAAACCAGCATCATGGCGGAATGGCGTCTCAAGCAAACAGGGAAGCTGTGGGTCCTCTTAAAAATGAAGTAAGCTTCTAAATATGAACCTGAATTACTTTACAGGTTGAATTAGGGTGGGAAGAAGACACTGTTATAAAACTCTTACCTTGTTTTGGTTGTTTTGTTTTTACCTAAATTAGACATGGAAGGAGGATCACCTAGCAAACACCAGGTCACTAGCCAGAAGGAAATATTCCGCATGGAATAGTGTGGAAGCTCCTCGTTCCTAAGGTGCAATTAATACCACTGGTCAACAGTGCAGAAGCCAGCTCTTTATTCGTTTCCATGAATGACTTTAAACCAGTTTGGGTAAAGAGTTCAGTGTCATGACAGTGTTTAACAGGAATGCGGAGCAGACCACCATGTTATAATGCGGCATTGTCTGCAGTACAGTACGACTAAGACATCCTATGTTTAGCAGCACCTTTTTTTGTAACAGTAAAGGAGCAGTAGAGAAAGTATGGGGAAAACTGAAATGGCTGACGTAGAAGAATAGCACTATTAACTACATTCATTTCCTGGAATAAAATAATCAGGATTCTACAACTGAGTAGGGCAAGATCAAGCTTTTGTTTGTAAAAAGGCTGATACTACCCTCCACCCGTCAGTAAAGAACCCATCTTCCTTGGGATTATTTCCATATTTCTAGATGAACTACACACTGCTGATGTAGCTTTCACACACAGGTCAGATCCTTCGGCAGAACAGAGGAACGCTCTGGTGTGCATAGACATGTTCACAGTGAAGTGAGGACCTAACAACTGGGTACCAAATTCAACAAAGGAACTATTCTTTGAAAGGAATGAGTGGTGATTGCAGGTTAAGAGAAACACTGTCCATCCTGGAGCCTGAGTGTCTCAGAGCCAATTCTTGGGATAAAATAAATACACAGCCAGGTGTTTATCTGTGATCACAGCTGGACATCTATCTGTGATAAATACTTTCTGAACTTAGGTCAGAAATTAGTGTGTGTATAGTGTACCAGTTCTATAAGTAGTATAGAGCTGATTCTAAAGGAAATTTTTAATTTTCTAAACAGGTAAAACACTGGTAAAATAGCATATGCAACTCATTTTTTAAGTGTTTTTCTTGAGTACAGGATAAAAGTATTAAATGTAAAGCCTCTTTAAATGCAAAACTGCTTTACTTATAAATGTCTAACAATATTTGGGAAGAACATGGAATATCCAGGAAACAAAACCAAAAAATACATTTATTATTACCATTATTTGTTTTAGCTACACACCGATCTGATTGGGTAATCACAGATAGGCATTTTCCTGGGAAAGCTTCAAATCTGTGCGCCTGTGAAGCTAGTTAACAGTCTTATGTATGAGTCAGCACTGAACTCCTGACAGACAGATTTTATAGCCTCACCTAAGAGCATTGTAGGCTGCTTAACACAGGCAAATGGAAACTTGGAGAAAGTGTCTTCAGGGTCCTCCTTCAGAGGAGATGTGTCGTATAAGAAAAACATTCGTATCACTTTTTTGCTTCATGTCATCGCATTTTGCCCTGATAACTTGTCAAGACTTAGCAGAAACTTTGGTTATAAGAAGCACTCGTAGATTCTGTCAGACAGCGAAATTGCTCAGCTTGCTGCCCGGGGGGGGGGGGGGGGAAACAATAGGGAACTGAAGATAAACAACAGGAGCAGTAGGCAAGGTTAGAAAGTGAAATGGGACAAGTTATAAAAATTTATTTCCCTATGAAATAATTGCACAAGCTGTGTAAACATTTCTTACTAAAACAAAATACTCTGACACACAAAGATTGTACATTTCCAGTGGAACACTCACAGTACAAGATGCCCATGTTTTCTCTCTCCGGGAGCAAAAGCAAGGAGTCAGCAGATGAATGCTTCCCTGCTTCCTTTGGCAGCAAGCTTCCTCACATTCCCTGGCTGCTCAGTGGGTTTTAAAGCGACATACAACACAATGAAAAACAAAGCCAGGTGGGCAGAATTCTCAGCCACAGGCCTCTAGTTTGCGTATTAGTCTTTCGCATTCCACTTCAGCTCACTCATTCACACACTCACACACGCATGTGCACATGGTGGGTTCGGCTTGCAGACTCCAGTGCAGTGACTATAACAGACACTAGCTGCTAAGAATGTGTTTGTCACAATCAGTGTAGACTGTACGGAGTAGAAAAACCTCTGGAGTTTGCTTATGTTTACCATAATTTATGGTTAAAATTAAAAACTTACAAGGATGGGATTACATTCAGAAATCAAACCTCAGGTCAAGCAATCACACATATTTACAGTATGTACAGCCTCTCTCTCAGAATGGGGTAGGGATCTAGACAATGTTATTAGAAATTTCCTGAATGTGGGCATTTCTAGTCCCTGTGATTCATAAAGCAAATCTGCTGACTTGGCATTAAGACCCTAAAATTGTGTGATCAAACGGATATATATATATATATATATATATATATATATATATATATTATATAATTATAATAAGGTGTCTGCAGAAATAACATTTACAAACTATCTATACAGTACACAGTACTAGTACATAGAAAATAGATTCTAACTTTATAATCCCCTTTGTGTAAGGCAAGACTGAATCTGTCCCCAAATTTAGCCAGCCAGAGGTACAAGCAAGAAACAGTGGTCCATGAAAGAATGACAGATATCTGGGTATTAAAAACATGGAGAGATTCCACTGCTTCTGTGTGCTGCACCTGGCCCACTCATACATCAGCTACATTTCTGAAGCCACTCTGTCAGGTGGCAGCCAAACAGCATTTGAAGAGTCCAGGATATAGATGGAGGACTGCAGCTGTACTAGGCCAATTTATGTGGTACTCACAAAAGAACTTATATGAATACTTGTTTGCATGCTATTGCTATTCAAGCAACAGCAATACAAAAGATACAAGACAGATCACAAATGGTTGCAATTTAGCGCCCAAAGGTTTTGCTTCAGGATGATGCTACAGGAGACTTGGGGCGGGAGCGCACACGGTCACTGGCGGATGTAGACCTCCCTGCTCCACCCCCCAGCCTCGTCCCTCCTCTTGGGTATGACCTCCCCTTCCTTGCCACAGTAGCGATCCTTCGATTTGTGCCGGCTTCGCTGTTTGTTGCACTCGTTGTGGTCCTGTTCGCGACCAACGTCCCGAGAGCGGTGGCGAGACTCCCTGTGTCTGTGGCCGTTGCTGCTGTGGCTCTCATCTCTGTGATTATGTTCACGGTGTGGGGCATAGTGGTCCATGTGTTCGTGTGAATAATCTTCCTTTGGCTCCACGTAGGCAGAGTCTCGGCTCTCCTGGGTCTCAGAGTCAAAGGTCTCCTGCCTAGAGAGGCTGCGACCTGCACTGCGGTGGTTTTGATGGGTGGCTGAGGAGGAGCGGTGTTGGGATTTCTTGACTGGTTCCAGACAAGGTTCTTCTTCAGCTTGGGAAGCGGACCGGGGAGCAGGGCGATCAGTCCTCTGGTCACCTTGAGAACCCTGGAGCAAAGGAACACTTGTAAGAGTATCAACTAAGAACAACACCTAAGGAAGGAGCTAAAGCGTCTTGAGAGCAGCGCTGTATAAGCACATCCTTTTGCTCAGTGCCCAGGCGGCTGCAATGAGGCCAGCCAAGCTCAGGCATGTCACTCCTTTGAAACACCTGGGGGTGAGGCATTGCTTAAATTGGACTCGTGTTCCTAGTAACATTTTTATTTTAACAAAGGGGCGAGAATGTTATTTTATAGTTATTTTTTGTGTGTGTGTGTGATTCTAATACCAATACAGGTGTCTTATACCATAGTCTTAACTTATCTGCTTGAATAAACGAAAACTCATGAAGATGGGGCATTTATGTGGGAAATGTCCTAGAACCTTAACAGAGGAGACAGTGTCCTTAAGTTGGCTGCTAACATTCATTCTCTTGCCTCAGCCTCCCCAAAAGCTAAGGTTAGAGGCATGTGGCTAAATAATCCATTTAGCCAATTAACTTATTAAGCTACTGGAGTTAGCTCAGCATCATGGTTTTGGAGGCAGGAACACCCAAGCAACTTGCTGGGGTTAGAAAACACAGCAAGAAGCAGAGTGAGAAGGGTTTGACTCCAGCCAGTCCACCCTCTTAGTGGGCTCCAGAGGCTGAGGTGTTTGCAGTGTTTCAGCTCACAGCTCTGGGCTTACAGGTTCACAAATCATACTGCACTGATGGATTTGGTTAAATGGCACATGTGGTTCTCTTAGTTTAGTGAGCAAAGGACAGTAGAGCAAGCTTGATGTTCACTCTCAGGGATCAAGTCCCAGGGCTCTCAGCGGGGGCAGTCTAGGCTCTATGACAGCCATAAAGCAAGTGCTCTTACCTGTGAATTAGAGGCTAGGGTGGGGCTCATAGGTAAGGTTGAGGTGGCCAAAGTCCGACTGAGGAGAGGGTTGGGGAGGTTACTGCTGGGAGGGTGGGTGGCCTTCCAGTATGCCTCCAGATAATCGGCAAGATGCTCACAAGCATCCTCAAGCTGGTTCTCATCCAAGATCACATCAAATGACTCCTGCTAAAGCAAGCATTTCAGATAGAAAGTTAACACAACCCAGGACCAAGCTCCAGCCTCCCAAGCCCTTAGTAGAGGAGAGGCCTTGCCCATTGTGTGTTCTTACCCTGTTTTCTCCTTTTCTATTGGCTGACTCTCTGAGCTTGTTTGTGTTTGTGAGAGAGAGATAGAGACAAAGACAGAAACAGAGAGACAGAGAGAGTGCTCAAATCCTTAATTAAAACACTGAACAGGGGAGGGTGGGACCAGGAGGGGAGGAGGGAGGGGCTTATGGGGGGATACAAAATGAATAAAGTATAATTAATAAAAGTTAAATTTAAAAAAAAGAAAAAAAACACTGAACAGTTAGCTAACTGCTGGAAAATGGACAACTGTCAGCATAATTGGTCAGGCCAATGTAAGGGAATTATCAGTTGTGGAAAAAAAACTGATACTATAGTAGAAAAACATGAAAAATCTAAACAATTTAGAAGGGTGCTTGTTCTTGATACAGACTGTAGAAAGCTCTGGAAGCTACTGAGGCAAGATTAGGTTATACACTTTGGCAGAAAAAACCTGAACTACCAACATTTTGACATTATCCAACCTTAACAGTTCAGTGTGGGGAGAGGTCAGTAAAAGAAGTGATCTTTTACTTTTGGAGATTTAAAATTATTGATCAAGAAATTTAACATACCTAAACCAATCAAATTCATAATTGTAACTTTTATAGCTTCTGAAATAGTACTTGAATGAACACTTCTATAGGCCCAAAGCAGGAGTGTGTTTCTGGGAAACTTATTGTTTAAAAATGTGGTTTGGGCCTGTTGAGATCGCTTACTGGGGAAAAGAGCTTGTGCAACCATGAGGGTCCTAGTTAGAATCTCCAGAACCCATACCAAAGCCGGATGAAAAGCATTGAGGTTTTGTAATCCAGCACTCCTACAGATATGAGAGTCCTGGAAATCAGGCAGCCAGATAGCCTGGTATACACACTGGCTGACAATAAAACACCATATCTCAAACAAGACTGAAGGCGGGGACCAACACCCATGGTTGTCCTCTGACCTCTATGTAAGCTGTGGTAGACATGCTCACGCAGGCATTCTCTATTATTATTATTTATTAAAATGTATTCACTTTGTATCTCAGCTATAGTCCCCTCCCTCATCTCCTCATAGTCATGCCCTCCCTCCCTCTTCTCCCCGTAAGCTCCTTCCCTAATCCACTGATAGGGAAGGTCCCCCTCCCCTTCTATCTGACCCTAGCCTATCACTTCTCATCAGGACTGCCTGCGCTGTCTTCCTCTGTGGCCTGGCAAGACTGCATGCCCTACGGGGAGGTGACCAGACCCACTTGGAAACTGAGCAGCCTATGGGCTTCCTCTGAGAAGGGGCTCTAGGTTCTTTCTATGCATGGTCTTTGGTTAAAGTATCAGTCTCTGCAGGCCCCCCTGGGCCCAGATATTTTGGCTTTTTTGTTCTCTTTGTAGAACTCCTGTCCCCTCCATGTCTTTCTATCTCCCTCTTCTTCCATCACACTGGCATTCTTAAACACAAAAATCAACATTTAGTTTGACATGGTCCAAGTCAATTTTTAGGACACTTGTTAAAAGGAGAAAATAGGTTGCCTGTAGCTAAAAGTAGATAAGAACCAGACTCCAAATAGGTCCATCTTAAAACCATAATCCGTTATCAGAAAGTGAGGCCTGCACAGGATGCATGCAGCGCTGGAAGGGTAATCATTACATGGCCTACACATGCTCAGGAACGCATGGTCACACAAGCTGTGTGACTTTTCTTCTTTGGAATGGATGCCACTGTAAGGGAGGAGAGTCTCTTCCTATAGGCATGTAACTGCAGTTTTAAAAATGCAGCTCTGATCTCGTCAACTGTTTGTACCATGTAGATAACTTACCGGAGGACACTGGGCCAGTTTATCAGCTGCTACCATCTGGACATTGAGGTGCTTTGCTTGAGATTTCCCTCGAGATTTTATTAACCTTTGTAAAACCTGGAAAAGGTACAGGTTTGTAACAGAGGAATTTGTTCTTAGGTAAGCTACAGAGTATATTCTAGACTACTTTATAATACATATTCCTGGATGAACAACATATATAGTTGAGGAAATACAAGATAGAGATTAACCACAAAATTAACTTGCTTGTATAAATGTCTTGCAGGCTTTAAGCACTAGTATAAAGCTGATGTTGAGTCTTTTCTAGCCTAAGAGTTCTCAAACTTCGTGCCTCATGACCTATTTAAGTTTAGAAAAAAAAATCATGAACCTCAAAGAACCACTGTAGTATAGGAAATATTTCTAATATCAGAAATCTTAACACTGTTAATCATTTAAAAATAAATACATATTAATATAACTCGGTTTTTAGGAAACCTGAACTATCTGCTTCTACATGCAATCTGCTATAATGAACAGTTCTCTTGATATTTGTAAAGAGATCATTACAGACTGTTAAATAAAGGGGGATGTTCCAGCTGTGCCTCTTCAGAGAGTAGGTGACATTCTTCAATACTATGCTTACGTCCAGCAAGTATGAAGACCTGTGGCCACGAGGACTCAGGACCCACATGGGCAGCCTAATGTACCACAGTAAGCGTACAGTCCTGAACTCAGTGGCAGACTCTGTGAGGCAGGGGAGAGGGGAAAGCCTTGCCAGGCCACAGAGGAAGACAAGGTAACTAGTCCTGAGGAGACCTGATAGGGTAGGGTCTGAGGGAAGGGGAGGAGACCCTCCCCTATCAGTGAACTAAGGGAGGGGCATAGGGGGGAGAAGAGGAAGTGAGAATGGGATGAGGGATAGGACTACAGATGGGATATAAATTGAATAAATTGTAATAAATGGTCATAATAAAAAAGAAGAGAATAAAAAAGAATATAGTCCTGTGGTCTGGATGGAAATTCAACTGGACCTTTCACTATTCATGACTTGTAAAGTCATTCATGGCATTCTATATGGTCTATACATTTATATGCTTCATTGTTTAATACCGTTGGCAACATATACTTCTTTTAAAGAATCTGAATGATCTTAGGGACAGATCTGCTAAGTACTTAGGTCCGAATGAGCATCCTTTTCGGTAGTCCTGAGAACAGGAGCTCACAGCGTTTCTCCTTGAGACAGTTTAACCTGGGCAGTAGCTGAACATTCTCTTTCATCACACACAGTGTTAAACGTACTACTGCATCTTCACATTCTTATGTGAAACTGGCCTTTGAGTTGATTATAACTGTGAGAATAAAAGGATGCGTTCCCTGCTACCCTCTGCATTCATGCTTAGGCTCCCAGCAGCTTTCCCACACGTGTGCAGATGCAAAGAGTTTTCTCGACGAAGCAGCTCCACATTACAAACCCTCTGAAATCATTTCAGTGACCCCTGACCTACACTCTAAGACCACTGCTCAGATTCACCACCCTAACCATGCTCATAGTTTTCCTAAAACTTCTTGACTAATGTGGATTTTTTCAAAAACTCTGTGTCCATGATAAAGGCATAGCCTGTGACTACTGGAAAGAGAGCATAACACATGCCACCTGCATCTGAATATAGAAAACAGTGCAAGCACACTTACCTTAGGAGATGAAATCTTTACATACACTATGATAGGGGCCAAAGAGGTCTTACTGAGTTGAGCTGGGTGATTAATTGTATCTGCATCAAGGACTACCAATTGCAGTGTTCTTGCAAGTTCAAAAATCCTTTCAATTTCACTCTGAACTTCCGCTGTGAAGGATTAAACAGTTCATTCATTTAAAGGACACATTTTTAACTATAGTAAGCTGGAATAAAATGGCACACTTTCTTATCTAGAGTGACATCAGGCCAAGCTGCTATTTTAATGATTATAGCCAATGTGACCAATAAAAGGTGTCCTTTGGCAAGGGCTGTTTCCTCACACCTTTAGTACTTCAGGAATTGTTCTTTCAGACAGCACCAGATGAACCATCTTTCTTTGCTCATGAGTTTACCTGTGTTGGGCCATCTGTTATGTAAAAATGTACAACATAAAAAGACAGATGAAGAGTGCCTTTTAAAGACTTGGCCCAAACCACACTTTTTTCATATTTTCCACCAGGGAAGACACGGTTGTAAGTATAACCTCTTCAGTCTATTTAAGGGTAACTGTAGGTATGTTTTCAAGGTTGACCATTGGTGTGTTCTGCCCTGGGGAGGACCACTGTCCAGTTCCCAGCTTTTGTCAGTTGTCATAGTTCTTTGTGTAGGGTTGGGGTCTCAGTTGGGCTTTTCTCCCTCCAGTTAGGCATATTCACTGCTGTCCTCCATGTTTGGCTCACTTTTGAGCAGTAGGATGGTGACGTTACAGGTGTAACATCACAGCTTCTGATATTACTGGGAATATATATGTATATGCATACACGCCTACAATAACAGTAAACACTAAATAACAGTAAACAGTAAACAGGTCTCCTCAGTTGAATGTCTGTAATAATGAGAATACTGTCCACACTGCTTAGTGTGGTGGCTGCTAGCCAGGTGTGGGTACTTAGCACTTAAAATGTAGCTATTCTGAATGAAAAAAAAAAAACGAATCTTAAATTTTAATAATGTAGTATTGAACTGTAAAACACAGCATGGAATGTGTAGTTCTGACTGCAGGTGAGAGGGTCAAGTCTATGAGTCTCTGTCACACCAGTCATCTGGGGCCTATGAATGCTTCAGTTTCTTTGGTGGATGCATCTATATTAATGGCATAACGTTTGGGGGGATGATTTTAACACATATTCTTCTAGAAAGGGCAAGTCAGTAACTGCATCAAATTCTTTACTTGGATGCTTTGAGAAACAACAGCCTAGTCACTTGAGATACTAACTGCAAAATGATCTTTGGTCACACAGCACTCTGATACAGTCTTACGACAGTAAATACTGCATACCCTGTCTGACCACGCTCTTAGGTTACTAGTTTATAAAAAGCACAGGGAACAGAATTGTATCAATGATAACAGTGTAATGCAGAAAAATTCAGACCATCAAAATCCTTCAGAATAAGTAGCCAGTTTTTTTTTTCAAGAAAAAATATGTAAAAAGAGATTTGAGAGACTGAACTCAAATATTCAGTATTCAGATAGTAGGTTATATATTTGTAATGAATAACATTGGTAAAATATGCCAGCAGTTGCTTCCCTATGCTTCGTGTATGGGAGGGTGAAGATTCTACATAAAACAATACCGGCTACAAGTAGTTCTTTAGCTTTGCAGCTACCTGATGAAAGTGTCCCTAACACTATACATTCCATGCTGTCACTGGCTAGAATATCAGTTCCTCCTTGAGGCCTTCCTTGTATCCAGTAATGCCTTCCTCATTTTATTCTATGCTCCCTCAGTTCATGAGCCACTGACCAGCCATCTGCTATTTTCAGTTCCATATTTTGTGTCCTTTGCTTCAGTGAGTCTGGCACCTTGGATACTGCCCAGCAAGAGTCTCTTTTCTCCTTATACCGTATCCTATTGCCTTAAGAATAAGCCAAGGAGCTTTAGCAAGCTCTTTAATGCCTTACCCTACCTTCATATGGTTTGCCTTCTAGCTCGCTTTTCTTTAAACCGTACAGTTTAACCAAAGTGACATGTTTTCCAGAAGCTTCTTATAATTGCCACTGTCTAAAGTCATCACCTCATCGCCTTCTCAACCCCACTCCCTTCTATGTGCTTCCAAGCTTCACGTTTCAGCTCAGGATGCCTCCTGGGAAAGCCTTCCCCATGGCTTACACCTACTGCAGCCTCGGCTCTTTGGTACAGCTTCATCACAAGAACACTATTTCCTCTCTGCATACCATGGCTCCTATTTGCCTTATTGCTCTCCTTAGCTCTTGGGTGCAGCGGCTATATCAAATCCATCCTCCCAGTTTTGGACTTCGGCATGTGTTTGGTGCCTAGCACATGCTTAACAAGAATACATGAGTAGAAGAGGCATCCAGAAAACTGCATAACCAATAATTGTAAAAGCCTTGGCAACCTACACCAGTCTATCCTGATGTTGATTTAGTTGGTCACTGTAAATAAACTGCTTGATTTTGTTTATTGGTTAAATCTATGAAATGATCATTTTGTAACAACTTTGAGTATCAAATAAAATAAGATTACTATAAATGAATATGAGCACATTTTTTTTTTTTTTTTAAAAAAAGACAGACAGATGGGGTGTCGTCGTGTGGCCCGAGGTGCTTTTGAACTTAGACTATCTGCCCGAAGTGCTGGGGGTTTCGCACCGTATCTGCATCCCTAACATACCTCCAGACCTGTGCCACGAAAGGCTCATCACTGAGGGCACGTTGGGCAGGAGACAATCCAGGGGTTGTTTTTACATGTGTGGGACATGTGTGCATGTGCCCACAGACCAGACGAGGGTATGGGGTCCCTTGTAGCTGGAGTTAAAAGTGATTGTCAGCTGCCCAACAGACTAGGAACTAAATTCTAGTTCTCCGAAAGAGCAGCAAGTACCCTTAGTCATACTCCCAAAACAGAGTCTTATGAAGTATTACTAAAGTATAAAATGTTATTATTTATATAATTATTGTTCAGGGTAACTGAAAAATTTCTGTGCTAAAACCCTGCCTCCTAAAGGCTAAACATATTTGACAAAGAATTAGGTGAATCTAAACATATCCCACAACTTATAAAAATGTTTAAAACCAGGAACCTAACAATATAATACTTAAAAAGTGTACCAGTAAATAAAACACCAAGCAATGCTTCAGCATGCTATAGCAGCTGCTAGAGGGTCTGAATTTTACCTTATTGTATACTGGTGAACAATTTTCTGTAAATAAATTAAAGTCCCCACACTGCTTTTACAAATGAAAATACTGATGCAATTCAGCGGACAGATAGCACTTGACTTCCTCTGTTATCAGTCTTGATATGTAAATCATACTGTTTTGAATATGATTTCATCACTGATGTAAACATTCAGTGAACATTACCGAAATAAACCACAATGCTGATAGCTGGTGGAATGTTTTGACCTAAGTGTCTTAATAATCTACAATATTAAATCATTAAGAGTATAGACTAGGTCTTGACATCGATTTTTCTGTATGGTACTTGGAGTTATTCTCTAGTCAGATCTGCTCACTGATACTGTTAGGGGAGGAATATTTAAACAGCTTAAGCCCATTGGTACTGGCTGACTTACCTAAGCTTGACCTTGTGTTGGATCTTTCTATTATTGCATGCTTACTGGGATTGTTTAATACTGAGCGTTTGGCGAGGGAGATGTCAGCAGTGACTCTTGTAATGGATATCCTGTTGGAGAAAAGAGAAAATCCCAAGATTGTTAATCTAATAAAACAGAAGTGCATATCCAAGACTTAAGGGATAAATGCCACGTAGGTATATACACAAGGGTTACAGAGATGATTCAGCAGTTAAGAGCACTTGTTCTGTGCTCACAGGTCGGGCTTGTTGGCTTCATGTTTCACTGTAAGACATTCTTGCTGAGTATTTTATACAGAAGACCTTTGTTAGAGCATATAGTTTGGTCACTGGATGGTTTTCTCACGCCCTTATGGTGGTTCATAACCATCTGTAATCCAGTTGCAGGAAATCCAGTGCCCTCTTCTGACCTCTAGGCACCAGGCACACACACAATATACAGACGTACATGTAGACAAAACCCTCATAGTCAATAAATATAAACTTGAATTACACATGTGTAAGTATAAATACACACCTATACTCATATGTGTGTGTGTGTGTGTGTGTATACATGCATGTTTCAAAACAGACTTATTAGGATAGGTAATTTTATATTATACGTTAGCAGGAAATGGTACCAAGTCTAATTAAATTGTCCCTGAAATTGGAAAGAAATTCACATTTGCTAATGAAAAAAAGAAACTACCAGCAGACTCATTTAAAACTTTGTGTTACTGTAAACAAAAACAAAATTTACTCTTAAAATAAACTAAGATTCCTAACTGTAATCTTATTCCCAGTACAGTGCTATGACACCATGAAGAAGAAGGTGGCAGACCAGCCTTCCTTCAGAGAACTGAGAGTCTAGTAACAGATGGAGAGCGAACATTGACTCAGAATGATGACAGTATGATACTGAGAACACATATAGGCTATGAAAGCAGTAACATGTTGAAAAGGTTTCATATGGGTAGAAATAATGTATGTGGGAGCTAAAAGTAGGAAGTAGCTTGTACTTGGGAAAGTTGAATACTCAGGGAATATTCAGAGGCAGTAGGAAAAATGTGAGACAAAAATGAAAGACTTAACAGTATCCACAAAGAAGCTGGTGACAGTAAGACTAAAACCAAGCGACTTGGTTTGAAAGTCTGATTCAAAGACAGAGCATCAGGGGGCCTGTCAGAACTATTTGTCTATTAGGTATAAAACCTCAGACTCACCTACAGGCAATAAAGCAGTGGGCCCTGGCTAATGGACTGTAGTCAGAGAAGGGGGCTGGGAACATTAGATGGCAAAGGAAAAATGATTCTGAATGTTGAACCCTTGTACCGCTTCCCCTTGATCTTTTGGAAGCCCAGCTTATATTTATTACATTTATAGCCTCCAGTTGTTAGAAAGGCCACCTCTCTAGACAAACCACACAGTGACTGAACTATATGCTCCAACAGAGGTCTCCTATATAAAACACTCAGCAAGAACGTCTTACAGGGAAACACGAAGCCAGCAAGCCCCACCTGTGCGCACAGCCCCCTGCTTCCTTAAATATAAGAGCATCATGAGGCATCTCTGTAAATGTCTTACAGGAGAGGCTACGAAAGAAACAACTATTGGGAAATACATTGAAGGCTAAATTATATTCATAGAACTGAAACAAAATTCATGTTTAAAACCTCAGAATAAGAAGGCTTTTGGAAATTAGAAAATGGCAGTAGAAATCAAGAGGGTAAGAGGATGAAGTTAAGGGCTCCCCTGAAAGAATAAAAACAGAGACAAACAACAAAACAAAACAAACAAACAAAAAACAGGAAAGTAAAGTTTGAAAGGTAAAGAATTGTGCAGCAGTTCAAATCCTAAATAGTTATGAGCTAAAAATTAATACCAGGATTAAAATGATAGATTTTTATATTAAAAGCTTCTAGCACCAATTAAAATCCGTACCAGATATAAATCTCATTGCACTTAGGAACCAAAACCCCAAAAAAGCTTCCAGAGGAAAATAGGACTTCAGATTTCTCAAGAGCAAGAGTTGGGCCAGAAGATTACAAAGCAAAAGTCTTGACAATCTCCTGGTCATGGCCAAGTGCCATAGGGCTAACTTGTCTGGAAAGGATGAAGCATGTGGACTTCTAGTTCAAGGCCAGCCCCAGCCACATAGTGAGACCCAGTCTCAAAAGCAGCAAAGGCCTTAACCATTCACACCATCAGTTAAGTGGGTTGATTAAAGACCTTTTTAGACATTCCAGAAAATCATTCTAGGGGTATGACTGAAGGATGTATTTGACTGGAATAGAAGGTGAATCTGGAGAGATGATAAAGGATCAAAGATAGAGGAACACCAATCCAAAGGCAAGTGGAAGAAATCTCTAAGGGATCCCTACGGTGGTAGAGAGTATACCAGGATATTAGCACAAAATGATCTCATGTACTGGGTGTGAGATGGTATGGCGGAGTGGCATCATTGGGGGAGCTCCAGCTGTGCCTCATATAATAGGATTCCGAAATATCATTCCTAAAGTGCCCATCGTGGGGGTGCAGGGGTGGCTCCTCTCCTACTGCCTGTGTGCTGGCCTTTTTAGGCTGCACATGGCAGCCCTTTGAATCTGCACCCAGCTAGTTGAAAAGCAAAAGGCAAACATTCTGGGGCTAATTAGGTTTAGAGTAGTGGTTCTCAAGACGTGCAGATTATCTAAATCACATTAAGCACCTAGGGAAAGAGATGCCCACATCGTAACATCCGAATTTGGTTTAAGTCAAATTAGGATATAGACCGTTAGGAGGGTTGTTGTTCTTTTGTCAAGGTGCCACCCAGGCTTGAGCTCTTGCTGCTGAAGCCTCCTGAGTACTAAAACTACAGGTATGTGTCACTAAATCTGGTCTCTTCCCTGCCCCCTTCCCCATGTACGTTAGGTAACTATGTGGTGCAGCCAATATATAAAACCATTAACTTTGAAGGCATTGTCTCACATCTAAGTAAATTTCCTACACCAGAAAATGAAGTAATGTAACGTTTCTCAGGATTATTGATTTCCAATCAGACTCCTTCACAGAACATTTTGACAGTAGTGCCTAATATCCCTGGAGCAATTCAGGACATGGTCCAAACAGTTTGGGGCTGACAGCTGACATTTTGAAAGTCACCAGTGAAGAAAGCCAGCTTTACCCCAGATGGTAGCTTGCCTTCTTCACTTGCTTTTTAATACATCTGTTCCTGTCCTGGACGTTACAGAGATTGCTTTACTTACATCACAGAACTCGTTATCTCAGATCTAGCTGCTCTGGTATGTAACAGAAAGAAGAGCTCTTCTTTGATGCTACACAGACTGTTTTGCAGCCCACAGTGCTTCTCCAGAACTCCCACAAATGATCTTAACTGTGAGGGCTTACTACCATAATTCTGGATAGCCTAGAACCTTTGCATTGGCCACATGTCCCATTATATTCCTCCCTTGTGGCCTTAACATTTTTTTTTAAAAAAAAGTAACTAATTTAGTGGATTCTAAAGAGTACTTCAGTTATTTTTTAGACCATCCTGTGTACATTCCGACCTGAGGCTTCTGACAAGTTTCCACTCTGTATGTCTTTGTCAATGTTAAAGATATTTAATGAGACAGTTGCTCTGCATATGCTCCCACGAGTAAAGGTGAAACTTTTACATCCTATGAAATTCATCTTTACGGGTTCTGACTTCCGTTGGGAACCCTTAATACATGGTCACAGGCCTAGAATGTTTAAGTGCAGCACCTTGTTCAAGATGAGCAAGGCAAGTTCATCAGGAATGGCACATGGAAAATACTTTTGCCTACATTCTGTTGTTTGGTTTATTTGTGTCCCGGATGAAATCAGCTTTATGAATCTGGATCTCAGATCCATAGAATATAGATCTGAAATCCAGATTCATAAATGCTGAGGATTGGACAGAAATAATTAAGTCCAGGCATCCTACTTTTGCATTTTCCACGTTTAGAAATGAGTACTTCATTCATTCATCCATCGACACCATAGGACACACTTTAGCAAAATTTGGGGGTTATGCAGATAGTTCCGGAATGGAATAAATGACAGAGCCCCCTCCCCCATAAAAATTAAATAAAAGTCAAACTAGGGCCATTCAAAGCCTGTCTTTTATGGCACAAATGACCAAATATTTCAAAAAGTTATTAAAAAAAAAAGTCTAATGACATTTGGCTCCTTAGACCTTTGATATAGTGTCTTTTGTACTTTGGAAACACAGCTGAGATGCCGTCTTCCTGTTTCTTTCCGTTCTTTGCGTCATCTGTCATGGGTCAGTTGTGTGGCCTGTGCAGGCATAGTCCACACAACACTGCACAGGAGAAGGCTGCGGGTGTGGCCAGCTGTTTCCGTTGTTAGCACAGGGAAGGAAGGACACGGCAAGGAACCAGGGTTAGCGTGCTGGCATGCAGAATGCACACTAGCACTGCGTGCTTTCAGGTCGCTTGTTTTCTAGTCTCAGTTTAAAGCTTGAGGTTTTACATTCTATATTTTTACCATGTCTCTGACAGGTTAGGGATTGGTTTGCTATGACACCTGTTGATTGTTTGATTCCGGTCCATCTTTCAGTAGTTACATCTGCTTTCTAATGGCTCTGTGATTTCGGGAAATAGTTTCCTTCAGTTCAGTTTGATCCAAGTAATTATTTGTCATGTTTGTGTAGTATGTTGGTGTCTGGGATACTGTAGTTACTGTACCAGTGTCCATAAACTAAAGTTGACCTGACCTCTGCTGAGTAGCCCCCTCCGCCCCTTTATGATCTGATGGCCATACTGCTTCCTACACAAACTGTTTCTTTTATCCACTTTCCTCCTCTTCCGAAAGACTTGTACCATTTCCTCTCTCTTATAGACCTTTTTCTTCCATGAAGCTAAGGTCCTTACCTTTTTTTTTTTTTCATGGTGAAGAGGGAAAAGATTGAGTCACATCTCAATCAGGACTTTCTAGTTTTGTCCCAGGTTATTAATGTCAATTTTCTGTGTAGGCCCTCAGAGTTTTCTAGTGGGCTTGCTTTATACATGATGCTGTATCACACCTCAACATCTTAATTCCCTCTCTACTGGCCATGCCCTCGTCTGTTTTGATGACATCTTAGTAGAATTAAGTTCCTTCTAGACTGGGACATTTTCAAATATGTCAGTTTCTCCTTTCTCCGTACTACCTGAACACTGTGTACATACACATGCTGGGGTGCCCCTTCAATTTTATTCTACTTTTCTGTACAAGTTTCAATTTGAAATTTGTGCACTTGCTCTTCAGAGACAAGGACAGTAGCCTCACTGTGTCTACATTTCTCTATCAAAGAATACACGGCTGACAATGATTCAATGCTCAACTCTCTTTTCATATTGAGTACTTCTTCAGGCACCAAGAGTGCCAGAGTTCACAAGACATTGAAGTACCCTGGCCTCACATTCTAGTTGGAGAATGGTAACAAAAAAGTCATACACATAAAAGAACTCCGGAAAGATGGAGAAGGGAGAGAGACCACGTAGCAGGAGCGTATGTGGTGGAAAGTTCCTACCAGAGGGAACAGCAAAGAACAGCCAGTGGTGTGGCGTGGGCCTGGCTGGCTGGAGCACAAGTAAGGCTAAGAAAGTCAGTGTCAGGGAAAGTCTAGCTGGAGTGGATATGAAAGGGAAGGAGAGCGAGTCCAGCATGTACAATCCAGTGAATTCTGCTCTGAAGAAAGGGGGGAAATGAGGAAGCCGGGTAGGAGGTGGGAGGGGTGTTAGGTCAAGTGTGAGGTCAGCTGCAGCTCACGTGGTCTGCACTAGGACAGGAAATACTGATGAGGAGAGGGAAAAGAACAATGCGAACAATGTCTGGGGATGTGGCTGAGTGCCCAGGTGGCTGAGTTAACTGCTGCTCAGAAAAGCACAGAAAAGGGAAACGCAGCGCATCCAGGCAGACACGCAAGTAGGGATACATGTAGCAGGCGTAACTCTGTCTTCTCTTGGCTTCTAATCTACCTGCTTCCAGAGAGAATCTAGCTATGAAGCCTAGTCTGGCTTTATTCCTCTGCCTCAACTCTGGCGCTCCCGTTACAGGCATGTGTCAGAAAGAGGCTTGCCTCTTTCCTTAATGAAACAAGAATACAAGTTTAAAGTGCAGTGAGAAGAGGTGAAAGGTCTATGGAGTGAGAAGATGATGGAAAAGTCTTGGAAGGGTGGGAACGTGAACAGAGAAAGGCGTGTTTATGATTATCTGGGCAGTGAGGAATGCTGGCTCGGGAATTGAGGGTGAGGCAATGAGCAGAGGTGGGGCCACACTGAGCTTGTCGATGCAGGTCCAGGGACCAGAGCATCCAGGGTTGAAGATATACACCACAAACACAGGATTGGACTTCACTAAATGAAGCCCACTTCCTGTCATAGAGAACAGAAAACAACTGATGCTCGGGGTCTTCCCACAGGTTTGGAACCTCTTCAAGACAAAAGCACTCAAGACTAGCATTGTAAAATACTTACCGCCCTTCAAATCTGTGTTTTAAAAAATCAAACAGTGCTTTTTGCATCATATCTGTGACCTGCAATTGAATAATAAATTAAGTTAGAAAAATCTGAAGATAAAAAATTGTTGCTGGCTCAGGAGAGATGGCTCATAGATTAAGAGCACTGGCTGCTCTTCCAAAGGTCCCAAGTTCAATTCCCAACAACCACATGGTGGCTTTATGTGTGTGTGTGTGGGGGGGTGTCTAGTACCGTCTTCTGTCATTCAGGCAGAACACTGTATACATAATAAAATGTATTTTGATTATGAGAATCAATTTTACTTCTTGTTAACATTTAAAAACCCGAGCGTCACATTTCAAGGAATGAGGTTACCACATTTCTTGTTCCTAAGCCCTAATGAAGTGACAAGATAAGACTTCAGAGTTTATCATGTTTTAGGGGCCAGAAACTACTTTGCAAGGGCTTGCTAGCATTCTCCATTTGATATTGTTTCCTGGATGTGCAGAGTCATAGCTAGCAGGAGTATCCAAGGCAACCTCTAGGAAAGCAGAACACTGAACAACATACACCAAAGCCTGAAAAACAACCTGCTGTGCTGCTGGGAGCCAAGTTCAAGTCCAATACGCCGAAGTGGAAGAGCACTGTAATAAAGCACGTTAGGTCAAATGAGCTACAGAGAGTAGCGCCTCAAACTTACCTCATACCCCTTCAGAGAAGGGCCCACCAGGACGACTGGACGCATGGAAGGTACCACATCATAAGGAGGAGTGTGCTCTGTCTGCAGAGAAATGAGACCCTTTTAGACTTCTCAAAGGCAGTGGATCTGAAGTTACTTTATGCAAGGCACTGATTTCTCAGACATTCAAATATTTTCATAGTTGTGTCTTTCCTAAGTAAATAAACCCAATGAAAGACTGGTGGGTTTGTTTTCCTGAGGTTTAAGTCACTGGATAGTCTCTGGTTTCCTTGCATATGAGCTAGTTGATTGATAGAACAGACAGAAACATGCTCAGAGCAGAACAGGTGCTTTAGGCTTGACCATACTCTGATGCATTGCTCTTCAGGCACACTTAGGCTTTCTGAGGAGTTAACAGGATCATGGCTAATTGTGAAGGAAAAGAAATCTCCGCTTCCTTTGCACATGACATGTTGGTATTACCTGTATAAACCCTAGATTCCAAACATTGTGTCACTTCACCACCAAATGCTTGGAACGCCACTCAAATTATGAGGAAGCAAAAACTGGCATGCATGCTTGTGCTATCATCATCACTATTCACAGCTTCAGGATTAATGCTTCAGGATTTTGGTTCTCCGTTGTTAGGCAGTTATCAATGTCTCGAATGTAGATTTACGTGTGTTGGGAGGAAGGTGGATGATTTGTCATCATTCCATTTGTCTACCTTACATGTCTAACATTTCTGATACACACATTAGCTGGTCTCTGTTCTTTAACTAATTCGTACCTTTCTGAAGGCAATCCATTATATTTTAAAGAAGATGAGAGTGGGAGCTAAATTTTATTGCTTGATTTTTTTCAAATAAAAACTTGAAACGTAGATAATATAATTTGCTTGATGATATTTAAGCAAGCTCTTGTCATGGCAATTGCAAAGTGATGCAGAAATAACCTTTCTTAATGCATAAGGGCAGGGCATAGGGCTTTAGATACTGGGTGGATGGACAAATCAGTTATTCCCATGATGCATGAGCACTATAAGACATATCCTCCCTTACGGGGGAAAATATTTTTAAGTCACATGCACCAAAAGAAATGTTCTTTTTACTATCATAAGAATTTTATCAGCTGAGGAGCATGTAATATTTGCATCATTATCATTAAAAACCATTTGACTGTTGTTTAAAATTGCCCCTCACAAACTTGCTGTATTCCTATTTTCCGTTGCTTATGGGGCTATTTAGACACACATCAAATCAATAGTGTCCATATGAGCTTTCATCACTAGTTGTCCACCATATCACCAAAAGGACAAAGATATTACGGTGAATGATCTGTTCACCTTTTACTGCTTAATATTTTTCCTAGCACCCAAAGCTTTCTTTTACTAGACATGATAAAGATAAAATACGTATTTGAATGAAATTAAACAAAAAACAGGACACAGAACAGTGATAGCACAAAAGCCAGACAAGCAGCACCCTAAAAACAACCTAAAACAAAGACAGCTGGTGTGGACATGCAGCCAGCTCTCTTGTTCTGAGCTCACGTTCTCGTAGAATGAGGAACACAAGAAGAATGAGCACCAGTACTGCAGGCATCATAAGCATATTTGCTAACAGGTTACATTTCGTATCACCTGGATTTGTACTGAAAACTCCTAGAAGCCATATCATTTTGATAGTTCAGTGAGAACCACCCCTTTTCACTGCTATTGATAGGATTATAAATCACAAGCATTGTAATAACAGCTATAAAGAAATCTGGGTGGCCCAGTATTAGACAGGACTTTGGTTCCTTTGGTCTCTGAGGGCCAGCTAGCAAAGGGTTACCTATGCTAGCCATCATCCAGCTTCTTCTGTCAGCAGGGGCAACAATAGAAATTACCTTATTGATGGAATATTGACTTGGTAATGTATTGCTAACCACAACATTTTTATCTTATTTATCTTATTCAGTCTTTTTGGCTAAGCCATTTTTTTTTTCTTAGCCAAAAGCTGGCTAAGGAAAAAACAAGTTTGAATTCTTTAGAGGAAAAATTAGGATAAACTTGTTTAATGTTTTGAAATTTACAGGCAGGTAAACTGCAAAATACTGTCTAACAATCAAGATCACACTGGCATTGCTACTTGGTGAGGTGCAGAGTGGCTGAGCAGTGTTGACTATCTAAGAAACACCTGCAATGCAGGCGTTCCAGCTGTCTTGCTGCAAACTTCAGTTGTGATGACCAGGTTAGACCAGAGAGGTGGCCCACCCTCATGGAGGATCATCAGGTTCAGGCCTTCTGTGGCAACACAAAAGTTCAGGTGTTTAAAATCGTGCCTGGAGCTCTCTTCTTGATGATTATTTTAAAAGAAAAAAAAGCAAACCTACTCTTTTGTGTATGGCAACTTATTATTAGCTTCTAATAATAGAGCAAAACAGGTTTTTATGGAGGTAAGGCTTTTAATTTGCTGAAAGTTTAGGGCAGAATAGATTTTTACTTTGTATATATAAGTTAAAAAATACTCATGCTTGTGCCAGACTTGCTAACCTTAGGGATTGTGAGTCTAAAAACATAGTGGCTGTGGAAGGTGCCATGTAAAAGGAGGAGAAAAAAGGAAATGGCGGGGAAATCTTTGAAAAAATAGCGTTATAATAAAATGAAACATGTTGAGAGAAAACTCATATAAAGAGGTCTTGGGAATTCCCTGGAGTTTCCAGTCAGTGTGCAGCATTGGTATATGACATCCTTATTGGCCAACGGCAAAGGCTCTTCATTTGGCCAGCAGCCTCATTGTCTCTTAGGTGAGACGCTGACATCCGACTGGCAGAGAAGACAAGAACATTAGGAGAGTGTTTATATGACAATAGGAAAAACTCACACTAAACCACCAAAACAAGCCTGCAGTTTTCCACTGGTCTTGTTCATCGGCAGATTTTGCACCTAATGGATTAGAAGTTTAAATACTGACTGAATTAAAAATTGAACGACTTCTTTTTATTTTTTTTAAAGCACAAACGATGTTTCTGGATATTATAAGTCAGTATCTAATAACAGCTTTAATATGCTTGATTATGAGTTATGTTTCTGGCAAAACGAGATACACAGTAGAAGCATGTACAACCGAGCATGTACAGCATGTCCAATGCTGGACATCCTTGAGTATTTAAACAAAGTCCCTCGGTGGCATATACTATTCCATCAAAAAGGATAAGTATTGTAATGGCATTTCCACTGACCACTCATGGAATTTAGTTGATGTGAGATGCATGGATTCAGTTGGTAGTTGGTAAGCTGTCTTAGACCAGGATGACTAACAAAATGAGGGGACTGATGCTAATGATGCCAATGGCAGGACAAACACAGGCATGTTAATGTGAACTCACCGACTTCTGCTTCTGCTTAGCTACAGCAGCATGGAAAAGAAACAAAGAACAACAGAGCATGCATGTTATTGGCTTGTCAAAGGACGCAGACAATCAACAGGACTGGAAGTGTGACACAGTGCAGTTGAGCAAGTGGACAACAGGAGCTGGGAAGTCTGGGTTACCTTCTTAAAGAAGGGCATTCTTTTCTCTTTGGAGTGGGGTGACGTTACACTGTTTGCACTGGGCTTAGGGGAGCGGTGGTTTGCTGGAATATCATTCTCTTCTGCATCTAAGCCAGTAGCATCTATATCTACAGCTATATACAGACAAACAATTCAAAAGTCATCAGGTGGATGGGAGAGGAAAAACAGGTTATAAAGAAAATAAAACAAAATAAAAGCAAATAGAATAAGCACGGTAGAAGATCTATCATGAATGTGCAGCATATTACACAGAGTAAAATATATAAGACATGTTAAGGATGCGATGCAATCAAATCTTTCAAGACTGAAAGATACCCTTGTGACAGCTGTTTGCTTGCACTAGTCAGTTTTGTGCTCGATCTCCAGAGTGCTTTTAGAGAAACATTTTTTTTACTTGCCTCAAATGTTGGTATTCTCCATATTAGCTAATAAATGTAAGGTACAAAGTATTTGGCCTTCGTTATTTCAATGTCATAGCCCAGCTCTTAGGTAAAAAACAAGTTCTTTGGAAACATTTAAGAGGATAGAACTAAGTCTTCTCATTTTGTTTGATTTTATGTTACCGGAAAGGGGACACACAAAAGTTTCATTAAGATTATAGTTGGCATTTAAGGAAAAGAGAATAGAAAGCCCTTAATCCAGGCCACACCCAGGAAGTCAAAGGCAAATGATTCTTAGGGTGTTCTGGGATAGACAGGAGTGAAGTGATTTCAAGGCAGTGTGTGCCTCTGAGAGCTTGATTGAAGACCGGTGGGAAACACCAGATTAAGGAAATCATTATATCAAAGTCAGTGACTTTGGTGGTTTCTGGGTGGTTTCCAAGCCTCTGAGGCAGACCCAAGGCCCCAAAGAACAGGCTTCTTGTTTCCTCATGAGAAAAGGATCCAGGTTGTTTGCTTGGTGAGTTTTTACCTTTAACATCCATTTACCTGAAAATACAGCTCTAAACCCAGTAAGTGAAAAAAAAATAGGATGCATAATTTCACCTTTTTGCATGAAATTGCTAAACAATTTATCAACTATGGAATCACATACTAAGTTTCAAAGATCAATTCAACTCCTCCTGCTTTTTAAGACTCAGAAGCTGAACCCACAGAGTGAAGGGGGTTTGTTCTTGTCAGAAGTCCATCAGGTGAGGACAGGGACCCAAGGCTCCTGCCTTAGAGTTGCACTCATCCCTGCATTATGCTGCCTTGCAGGTGAGGTACCTTTCCCCTCTTGGATGCATTCTTTCTGTTCCTTTTACTTTCCCAGTGCTCATGTGCTTGAGGTCAGTGTCCAGAACAATATCAGAGTTGAACTTGCTAGGTAACTATTTTATGGTTGAGATAAGGTCAAGCAGAAGCAAAAAAAAAAAAAAAAAAAAAAAAATTCACCCCATAAGGCCTCATACAAAACATGTTAACTCTCAAACAAATAGCAAAATGCATTGATTTAAGGAACAAATAACCAATTTGAGAAGATGTTTGGTGCTTAGGTTCAGCTACCCTGATGCACACATAAGCTGAGTTGAGACTTAGAGCAGCCTCTTCTGGCATTTTCAAAGGACCCCAGCTCACCCGATATACAGCACATTATTACTGTTTTGCAGTGACTGTGGTCTGAGAGGCTTATGCCTTGAGAGCAGGGGTCTCCTGTTCAGTTGGTTTTTGTTTGATAACTCAGAAGTCTGTGAAGGATGAATGATGGGCTAGTCTGCATCCCAGCTCTGCTGTTTTATAGGTAGGGACTTTCCTTTTGTCTACTTCATGCATGCTAATTAGTAAAGGGTTCAGACCTCTGTCTGCAGAGAAATGTCACAGTCATGCATTTTTCAGGTGTTTGGTGCCAGGACTTTTAAACCAGGCTACAACTTTGCTCATGTCAGAAGGTGTTTATTGTTCTCCTTGACTGAAGAGAAAGTGAAAGCAGGTCTTGAATCCCAACAAGGCAAGGATGTAGGCTACTATTTCGTTATTCCAATAATAGCTCATAACCAGTATCAAGTCTGTTTCCTTCCAGTGGCATATTCCCACATACTTTATTCTCCCTACTTTTCACTGGGCTTATGAAAGCTGCATTCGAGGATTAGTGCCCTGCAAGAACTTTATTGGAATGGAGCTAGAAACCCCGACAAATGCCAGAGTTCACAGGCCTCCAGGATGGTGACATTTCTGAAATGGATTTTAGGATTTATGTACTGAATCTCATAGGCTATGGTCATTGGATGGATTTATTTTAAAAGGAAATTTTTAATTAAAGGAATTTAAATTGGGAATTCATAAAGAATGGGATTGTTCAGGTCTAGCCTGAACAAGGTTGAGATGTTCAGCCAGCCACACTGAGACTGAGTTCTGTATGGACATTCAGCCACATCTCAACACCAAGGGCTCAGAATCCCTTTCCAACTTAGTACTTAGTGGCTTTTTGCTTTAACTTACTTAGGCCTAGAAGTGTCTGCATTCATTGAGAAAGAGAATTCTAAAATGCCACATTCAGAGCACATTTAAGAAACAAGGTTTTCAATGCTTTGAGTTTTCTGCATACTTCAGTGAACTCAGATGATTCTTGTGAGAGACAGGTCCCATGTTTAATCACATACTGTGCTCCCTTATCTAAACAAACATTAGCATTTATATGAGAAAAGAACTTCCACCCATTTTAAGATATTTTGTTATTCACAATCCCTGTCTTTCCTATGTCATTCCTTTCTTATGTAGAGAACCGTAGGAACATAATTTAGCTTACTCTTACAGCTTGGGTCAAGTCAAGCCAATTTCAGGGGCGAGATCTATGCACAGATGTAGCGTGAGGTGTGTGGTGCGCAACTGGAAACCACCCCATTATGTATGTGGGAACTGAAAATTACTCCTTGGTCTAGCAGTGAGTTGGGTATCATAGTGAGGACCTCTGGATAGCAAAACAGATTAAAGTCATACTTGCAGGCCAGTCTATCTACATTTGCTATGGAGCAGTTGGTTGTCTTTGGTTGACTTGGAAAAATTTCTCTAGGATTTTCTAAAGATTCCCTTTAGAGCCATTGAGCGATTGCTAGGAAACTCATCACACAGCTCAGATAATCTGATAGTAAATATCATGGTTGTTTTTTTTCTCCAGGCCAATCAGTCTCAAAGTTTTCTATTCTTAGAATTCAGGGAAGTTATCCCCAAGTTCTATTAATCTGTTTAAAGCTCCACTGAAGTTTTAAGCTCCTTTTCATTTCATTATTTAACATGACTTATGGACCCTGATTTTCAGTAATGATAACACGTGACTCCAAGATTAAATCTTTTACATGCACACTAACTTGCTCCTCAGTACACAGGCACTGTTCAGCATTTTCCTAGCAGAAGTTAAGGTTGCATTATCATTAGAGGACACAGAAGAATTGTACTTATCTCCAGCAGGGGCTTTATTACAATTGGTTGTAACCTCCTTCCATGTTAGGCTACTATAAGAGTCTTCAGGAGTTCCTGAGATGGCCTTTGAAATAGTTAGGGTATCTGTAAGGGTTAGAGAGGAATCCCTGCTACTTCAAATATTTGAGCAAGGGCACGAGTGAACTCCTTGCCTTTTGTGTACAGGGATTAGCAATTCCTCCTCTATTATGGCACACTTTTGCCCCTCATTAGCACTGCCAGGCCTTTAGTGTCTGCTCTGAGCACACTAGCCTGCTTCACTTTCAGTGGCTTTTAATTGCTGCGAGGTATAAGTGTATACTTCTTCTAGCCAATGTGGATCCTAAAGTGACATTTCTTTTTGGGCTCAGATTTTGCTCAGTTAAAAACATATATACTTTTGCTTAGTGTTTACTCGATAAAAGGTGCCAACTTTCAGGAAGTACATATAGAACTTCAGCTGTGCACACGATCTAGAGCTGACAGATTTATCAGACAAAATGCAACAAAATAAACTGAAATTTAAGTTCACATGAAACCTTGCTGCCCTTGGCATCATGTCGCAGCAGGGCCTAGGGTGAGCAATAAAATTACCCCTGCCACCTCCGCAACAATGTAGACCACACATGGGCTGCTTCCTGGCCTGATGTTCAATACCAGGAAAGACACTGGCCACACTGTCCCTGATTTCACGGCACGGGGTCCTTTTAAAATTTCAGATGCATTTTGACATTTGTAGGTTTGTAAATTCACGCAACTAAAGAAGTCTGGGGAAGCATGAGAGGCAATGCAGTCAGTGGTCAGTGCTGACCAGCTACTTACCAGACGACGGTGGTGTCGACTTTCTGGAACTAGGAACTATGTCACCCAAACTGGATGATGAATTTCCTCCTGATTTACTGAAGTAAAGCAAAAATTCAGATTAAACCCAACAGTTGTTTCAGATGCTAAAATATTGTGCTGCTTGATAAATGTTATAATTTATTGTGTTTTCATTGAACTTTAAAAAAAAGTGTATTCCTTAAAAGCAAGTAAACTGTCATTACCCAATGGAGAATCCTGTCGTATTTGAGACAGTTTTATGATAGTCTATGTTTTGAAATTCAAAGTTTAGTTTTTTAAAGTCCCTGAGACAATGGAAAAGAGCTGGGATAATTTCTGTGGCCCTCAGTTTCCATGCCCAGATCACAGATGGCTACACAGGATAGACTTTCTTTGCCTTTAAGTTTAGAGGACTGGGAGGCAAGGTGTGAAACCTCAAGGCTAACATCTAGAATTTATGTCTCCTTCTTGCCGAGATTCCAGTTCCTTTGGCTTAGTTTGATTAGTTTTTAGTATCTTGAGATTAAAAGTATAGCTTTCATGTCAACCTGTGAAAGAAAAACATAGCAATGCCCCAATTCACCAATATTTAAGACACAAAAAAATAAACACAGATTGCAATATGCATTAACCAGAAGACAATAGTGAACATTTTCAAAACAAGACTAAAAAGGAGGATTCAACTTGGTTGAGTTGTGAAGGTTATTCAACACTTCTGAACAGGGCAAAGGAGAATCTACTAAAACATGCTTTGTAAGAAAATGTCATCTCGTATCTTGTATGCTAATTTTAAAAGTAAAAAAAAATTAGAAAAAATTGACAGTTACCAGACTCCAGTGTGAAGGAGAATATGCATACGTGTCTTAGAAACTTTGGAGCTTATAGTAGAATGCAATAGCTCACCAGTACATGGGAATGTGTGTCACCCCTTAACACACAAAGATCCCAGAAACATGGTAAAAGAATAAGGATGCCAGGGATTCAGACAAGATGACTGAAGTGGCCAGTACTTCTCATCATGGATGAGCCAGGTTCTAGTAGAAAGAATTATGTACCATGTCTGTGTGACCTAATGCTGATAAGTAGGGAAAAGATCTGCCCTTGCTGGTTGGTTGTTTGTTTTTTTTTTTTTTCTACTCTTCTAGCATTTTAATACACAAAGCAAATGTTAAGTACTTCCCTAAACAACCAGCAGGTGGGCTTTCTGTCTCTGTGAGAGCTTAAGTACTTCTGCATAACCAGTAAGGACCTGAGGGAGTGTGTACAGCTCATAAAATGTAGAACTTACAGAACCACCTTTGGCAATTACACAAAGACGCTTATTGGCAAGAGCACACACTTCTTTCCTGTGGCTTTTACCTTTTGTTTGTATTGTCCATAAAAATCCCAAGTCTAGCTTTAGTTCAAGCACAGGTTTGCTCTTTTTATTTATAAAATTGAATAGGCAATATACTGTGCTGTGTAAAATTGTGACAGATGCTGCTAAAACCTGAAACATGAAGAGGCAAATGTTCCAACCACTTGCCAAGTTCTTGAACTGTGCTCCGATATTACTGCTTTGGATGTTTGCTAGTCTTTTAAAACATTTTTTATTATTATGTGTGAGTGTTTTTCCTACGTCTATGCAAATGTAGCACCTGTGTGCAATGTCCATGGAGGCCAGAAGAGGGCATCTGATCCCCTGGAACTGGTGTTACAGACAGTTGTTAGACGCCATATGAATGGTGGGAACTAAAGCTGGGTTCTCTGGAAGAGAAGCCATTATATTATTCTAAACTGTAGTCATCCCTCTAGCCCCTGATTTTTGTCAGTCTTTGAAACCTTCATATATGTGTGTGTGTGTGTGTGTGTGTGTGTGTGTGTGTGTGTGTGTGTGTGAATGTGTATATATGATACTAATAAAAATATGTGTGCATATTTAAACAAAATTCAGCCTTCTGAAATATGTGTTGTATGTGTATATGTGTGTGTGTTGTATTATATATACAAAAAAAAAAACCCTGACTCTGATTATGTCCTCACAAAATATACAAAATCTTGAAAGGCAAATACAGACGATCGTGGAAGTGAGTTGATGTACTTAAACATACCTAGACAAAAGCTTGGTAGAGAGATGCAATTTTAAAAAGTTAGAGAAAGAATATACAGTTCTAAGAGAACGTAACCCAGCTCTGTAGAATAAATTGCAAGAAATAGGAGTGTGACAGTGATCAAGTGCTGGTTTCAGTGAGGCTGAGTGTATTCTATTTTATTCAGTAGGTGAAAAACACTGCTAATGTTAACATTTTAGCACTAACAACAGAGTTTACAGCATACAAACAAGCAAGACATAACACAGGAAACAGAACCGCAGCTATCCACAGGAAGACGAAGTCTCCCTGAGCTCCCCAAGCCTAGCCATGTGAGAAGAACCATGCCATGTTCTTGGCCTTGGCTATATAGGTTTAGATTGAAATTCACCACGTGGGTGAGAAGCCCTCCTAATGAATGTCTTGGTGAAGGAAAGACAAGTGTAAGCCTTCTACAAAGGTCTAGCAGAGTAACAGGGCCAGCCTACTATAGAACTTCAGCTAACTCTTATTCATAAAGGTGATTTAACGTTATACATGGTGTCTTTTTATGTGCTTAATACTTAGTTGGTAGAACTGAAAATTGGATCGCTCAGGTGAAAATGAAACTAAGCAACCACAGGAGCTGCTATTTGCCAGTGAGACCTGGAACTGATATCTCTAAAGTGTCTCCCAGCCTCGTTGGGCAGCTACAGGCAGACACTGGGATTAGTCACCAGGGCTGGTACGTGCCTGAGTGTGTCCAGCACATGATTAGGGATTCAGAGTGTCCTCCATGCTCAAGGCAACATTTAATGCTTTGTGGCCTTAGCGATTTTTATTAATGATCATAATTAATTTGATTCTCTCTCAGATGGGGTAGAAATCAGAAGCTGGGATGGAGTGTTTTTAAAGGAAACTATGATGCTATCAATGAACTGCATCAGCTTCTGCTTAATACACACTAGGGATCACAACATTTGGCAAAGTAAGGACAGAAACAACAGCATTGTCTGCAGTTTTATATAAACAGCTGGTATTTTTTTCATACCTGGAGTAGAATTTCCCTTGCTTGGCTCTCTGCTCATGCTGTAGCCTCATGTTTTCTAGTTTGACTGGGCTTGGAATAAATCCGATTTCACAGCCTTCTTTAACCAAGCGTCCTATCCACCAGTCATTATTAAATTTCTACACACAAAATAAAAAAATATTAGAATTAGTGCACATAAGTCTGGAGATCTGAATTGAATTCTTCTATGTCAACTGTTTTCACTGGAGAGAACCATGTCAGCTAGAAGTATCTAATACCAAAATTCATGAACCCTTGGGTTTATGGTTTCAGCTCATAAAAGTGACAGGAGCTTGCTGTGATCGGCCAGCATCCACTAAAGGCTCTGCATTTCCCTGTGTTTCCTTTCCCAGTGCTGCCTTCATGAGGAAGCTGAATTCTGTGATAAACTGTCCAGATTCAAAGATTAGCAAGAGACAATTAGGAGCTAGGAATTCTCACAGAGCTCTTTTCCTTATATAGTTGGATTAATCACACATAGTCAGTCAGGTTAATCTTTAAGAAATAAAATGTAGGGCACATACAAAAATGGATCACTTAGCAAAATAGTTCCTAATTTCTGGGGCACAGAGCCCAAAGGGGCCCTGGCATTCCTGCCATGAGCTTCTGATTCCCTTCTACATTAAAAAAAAAAAAAAATTATATCAGAAAAGGTCACGAGCCACTGCTTTAGCTGATACAACTGCAGCTAGACCTAAGGCTATTTCGCAGTAATAAGAAGCAAGTGAGAGCTGAAGGTGAAATATCACACTGAAGGAAATGAATCTTCCTTACTTCCTTAACATGCAGAAAGTCTTTTGCCTCGAATGAGATGGCCATGCCTGGCACTGGAACGTCATCCTCCTGGGCTGCACTGTACCTGACATTGGTCCGAACTGCAAATGCCACAGGTTTTGTCTAAAAGAGATGGGAGGAAAAACCATAAGAAAAGAAGTAACAGTGGCCTTTCCCCTCAAGGACAAAGATACCGTCAAAAGATGTTAGAATCACGGCTTCTCCCCATTGGTTCTTCATAACAAAGTACCTTGTTAGTATTTTTAATGAGTGTGATAGCTGTCAACTACATCCGCCCATTTCCAAACTAGAAAAAAAAAAAAAAAAGCTATTCTCTTCAAAGGCACTGAAGGAATAAAAGTAAAGATAAATGGATTTACAACATTACAGCACGCAACAAACAGAAAGCAGGACACATACACAATGCCTAATTCTTTGGTTTCAGTTGGGGGAGAAAATATAGAAACATCCTCCCTACCCTGAACATCCACTTCAATTAATCAATAATGATGTATTTCCCAACAGTACAATATTTGGGGTGGAAAAATAACTAGCGAATATACACGTTAGCCTTAGCAACTATTATTCATGGCTGTGGGGAATTGCAAAAGCACTGACCTTTTTATCCTACCATTTCTTTGTCCTTGAGTTCACTCAGCCACATTAATTTAGTCATCCTTCACATTTTGGTGCTTCTAAATATTCACAGATAAGTATCTGTTTTTTTATTGGCAACGCATGCATATTCAGAGCATGGATACATTAAGGAGGCTGATTTTTGTGGCATGCATATTCAGAACCAGTGGCTATATTCCCTTTCTTGTTTCCTCTCTCCTGGGTGCAAGATCAAACAGAAGCTATGACACCCTGGCCTTATAGCAAGCTCATGGAAGGCAGAGCTGTGAAGAGTGTGGTAAAAGACTAATGCAAAAATCTGGGACACAGTAGGACCCAAGAGAGACCTTGAGGGCAGTAAAGGTAGGTCAGCCTTCTAGACTGAAAATCAAGATGAACTCTGAGACTGAGTTCCAGCTGCCTTTTCCTCAGACCCATGGCCCTCCCAGCCTTATCAGAAAAGCTACATCAGAGCCGAAGATAAGGTGACAGAGAAAACAGACTGCACAGACATGGGGCAAGCCCACAGGCCTGCTTGTTAAGGCTTCTGTAGGGAGGGCTGGCTGGTGTAGAATTATATTTACATCCATGTTTAGAGTCAGAGTCATTACTAGAAAACCAGGCTGAATGGGAGTCAATATGGTCATCCCAGTGTCACTCAACTGTTACTGCTCTGAGGACCGTATTCTCAGGCCTCGCTCATGACTCCAGGTGGTGCTCCTGCATCCCTTTCCAACTTGATTTCCCTCTGGGGGGCACCAGGCACCTGAGGTAGCATTCCACCATTCAGCCCAGTTTTGCTTCTTATGACCCTCTGCCATGTGGGCACATGCTACGTCATTTAGGGTCTACTAGTAACTTGCCTGTGCTCTGTTGCCCCCTTTAGGGCACATAGAATTACAAGCTCACTACAGACTACCTCGTGGTGCAAACCTAAGCAGATTATTGAATCAATAAGCACCATGTCACAAGACAGTAGCGTCCCACTCTCCAGGCAACGAAGTAAAAGTAAGTTAAGAACATAAAAGCTGTTTCTTCGTTACCACAGTGTCTTCAGTCTACTTGCAACACTTAAGGGGACGAGAGAGAAAACCAGTTACAGATGTTGAAAACTGCCGTTCTTTTCTTCTAGCTGGTTCTTTACCTGCATGTGGCATGACTTAGAGTAAAATCATAAAAGCAAGAATTTGGGAAAGTCTGCACCTGACAAGCAGTGTGTGATGGGTACTGTGCACAGCTTGTTGCTTGTCACTAAGTCGTTGGCAGTTGTCCATCCCAGATGAGGAAATAGGCTTCCAAAGCTTTCCCAGAAGCCTAGCCTGGTGGCTCACATGGTTAATCCCAACACTTGGAAAGCTTAGGCAGAATGAGAGCATGCTCAAAGTCAACCTGGGCTAAAGAGCAAGGCCCACTTCATAGAAACAAAACACACCACAACAAAAGTCTCAGGTTGTAAGCAGTGGAGTGGGTGTTCAAACCCTTCCCTACAAAGCTCACGTGTTTAAAAGCAAAGCAAAGCCAAGTACATTTAAAGTGATACATTCATGGTAGTTTCAGGCTAGTTAGTTGGAGATCTAAAAATTATATTTTACACAGAGTTAAAAAAAATTGTACACCCCAAAAGAAAAAAAAAAAGCCACAAGTCTATCCTTTCTTTTCATAGTAGCTGAGCAGGTTGACATGGGAAAGATTCATCAGAAAAGTCACTTGCGGATTTAGCAAAATGGCAGCCCCGGGAGGACTCTCATTCTGACCAGCAGCACAGCAGGATTGGCACAGTGACCAGCAATCAGAACTCATGGCCCTAAAACACAAGTGTTTGTGTTTCCCAGGTGAGAGGATACCCTACGGTGGGGGATTCAATCAGCTTTAACTCACCCGGCTAAACCTCGGAAGAGATCCCGGTTCCGCCAGGCACTTGGTCACCAGTCCAGAGCCGCATACCAGTGTGCTCTGATCACTGTCCCAGACTGAACTGTGGGCACCACAACATCAGAGACTGAGATTTCCAGTTCAGAGATAACCCCACTGTGCAGGAAACGATTGGGACCGACTTTAGGTCACCCAGACATCCCCTGGAAAAGACTCGTGTTCCATGGGCGCCCAGGAGCCATCCCAGAGCCAGGGCCAGAGCCGGGGACCCAGGCGCCAGCACAGAGCCCTGCCTGTGCACCTGATTCACCGCCTCAGATAGAACTGTGGGCCCCAGGGCACCAGAGTTTCTCTGTTGGGTACAAACCCACAGGGAGGGGAATGGCTGGTCTGATCTCAGAGCACCTAGCCGATACCTCCACCCCTAAAAGGTCTCAGGAAAAATTACCCAGTTTCAGCAGACGCCCAGGCTCCCAATCTCCAGAAAGGCAGAAAGGCAGAGCCACATAAGCCTGTGCCTATGGGTTCTACTCGCCATTACAGACAGAACGTCTGTCCCCAAAGCAAAGACTGGGTGTCTCTGGCAGGAGGAAACCCCCAGCGGGGGGGGGATCATCAGGTCTAACGCTCAGGACACCCAGCTCCAAAAGACTTTCTGGATTCACGCAGACTCTAGGCTCTAGCTTTCTAATGCAGGCAGGAGTGTTGTGCTCACCCACCATTACTGAGTACTGCTAGGGCACTGGGGCACACAGCTGCATCCTCATACCTACAAAAGCCAGAGAGCCATTACAGTAGCCCTCAGATACTGCTCCAAGGATCATCCAGTTATCCCTAGCTAAACTGACAAAACTGTGGGAATCCCTGGTTCTTCAAAGGGCTGCACCCAACAATTACACCTTAAGAGCAACAGCTGCTGCTCACTAAATTCAGAGCAAGAAACCCAGCAGCAGGGCAGCCATCACCAGGACCATTCCTGATGAGAGGAGAGCCTTCCTGAACACCACAGTTACCACACAGGTTCATATACCTGAAGTGAACTGTGACAATTCCTGAGAAGCACCACCATTCATTTGACCATATCCAAAAAGCAGAGGAGAACTTCAGAACCCTGCCAAGTGGATTCTCCTCATCCCAGGACCCAGCAGGCACCAGAAATTAACAGACAACACCTGAGACAGAGAGATGGGTAGAAGCCAGCGAAAAAGCACAACCAACAAAAGAAAAAGCAATATGGCATCCCCAGAACCCAGTTATTCAGGAGCAAGTAGCCCTGGACACCCTAACATAAGTGAAATTCAAGAAGATGACCTTACATCTATGCTTATAAAGAGATTAATGAAGGAAGCAAATAAAATGTGTAAAGAATTAGGGGAAGATATAATAAAACAGATTATGGTCATCTGTAAAGAAATAAAGGAAGATGCAGCCAAACAGTTTGTGGCATTCAGAGAGGAAATAATTAAACACTGAAAGAAATAAAAGAAACAGAGGAATGTTCAAACAAACAGCTGAAGGAATTGAAGGAAAATACAGTCAGACAGATGAAGGAAATCAACAAAAGGGTTCAAGGTCTGAAGATAGAATTGGAAAAATTAAAGAAAACACAAATGGAGGAAATCATGGAGAGGGAGAACCTAGGAAAGAAAACAGGAACTACAGAGGTAAGCATAACCAACAGACTACAAGAAATGGAAGAAAGAATCTCAGGTGTGAAAGATACAATGGAAGAAATCGATGTATTCGTCAAAGAAAATAATAAATCTAAAAAATTCCTGACACAAACCATCCAAGAAATCCAAGACAAAATAAAAAGACAAAACCTAAGAATAATAGGAATAGAGGAAAAAGAAGATTCCCTTCTCCAAGGCCCAGAAAATATTTTCAACAAAATCATTGAAGAAAATTTCCCCAACTTAAAGGGGAGGCCTATAAGAATACAAGAGGCCTACAGAACACCTAATAAATTAGACCAGAAAAGAAAAATCCTCCCACCACATAATAATCAAAACAGTAAGTATACAGAACAAAGAAAAAATTCTAAAAGCTGCAAGGGAAAAAGGCCAAGTAACATATAATGGCAAACCCATCAGAATCACACCTGACTTCTCAACAGAAACTATGAAAGCCAGAAGAGCCTGAACGAATATCATGCAGAACCTAAGAGAACACAGATGTCAGCCTAGGCTACTGTACCCAGCAAAACTCTCAGTCCTTATAGGTGGAGAAAACAAGATATTCAATGACAAAAACAAATTTCAACAATACTTACATACAAATCCAGCATTACAGAAGATACTAGAAGGAAATATACAACCCAAGAAAACTAACTACTTTCAAGAAAACACAGGAAATAAATAACCTCACTATAGTACAACAAAAAGTACCCAAACACACAAACACACTATCATAGCCAACATCAATATCATAGGATCTAACAGCCACTGGTCATTAATCTCCCTCAACATCAATGGACTCAATTCTCCAATAAAAAGACACAGACTAAAAGAATGGATGCATAAACAAGAACCAACAATCTGTTGCATACAAGAAACACACCTAAATCACAAAGATAGACCTTACCTGAGAGTAAAGGGCTGGAAGATGTTTTTCCAAGCAAATGGACCCAAGAAGCA